AGCCCTGCAATCACATGAACCAAATCAAGAAGGTTCAATGTCAATCTTTTCTGATTGTTGATTTTGGTTGTGTCTTTTAATTGGAATAGGTCAATCAAATATCTTTGACTGACTTCAAACCATTCAGAGGAAGAGGATGAATATCAGAGCAATGCAATCTCTTTGATTTCATGGATTTTTGCTGACTTTGTTTTCAATTTGAAATCTGTAGATTGAGTAGATGAACACCATGATATTGTATGTACAGTCTCCTTCAAGTGGTTTACATAATTAATCAGTTGCTGCAATGGTTACAGGTCAATTTCAAAATAGAGCTAGAAATTGTAAAATTTAATTGTTTATATTACTTTTGATCCATTTGATTGGGTTAGACCAGATATATCTAGAGAACCCAGAAACAAAGAAATATAAACAAGCGAAAAGGACACCATCAGTGTTCAATTGGAGTAATGTGGTTCAGATGAAATCCATCAGGGAAGTGTGGTGCTGGGTTTTGGTACCAGTTGAATTGCCTGGATACAAATCCCAATCTTGAGGGCAAAAGTTTTTATTTGGTCAGGATACAAAGTCATGTCAAACAATGTGGCACATTTTCCAGCAATCAGTGATGTTCATTGTTCCCATATTGCTTATCATCATGCTGGCTCAACTGCCAGCCACTAACCCCATATAAGCCACCTGGGTAAATTCATGATCAACACTGGATGATTACCAGGAGTCTGATCAAGAGCAAGTTTTCTGCTTGAGATCACATCTCCCCAAACCAACAATTTTTGTTTGTGCCCAGTTTTCTTAACCGCGGGACACAAATTTTCAAATAAAATCCTTCAATGTCAAATTTTCCATAAATTTCATATTAATTTCTCTATGGAGTTACACAAAGGTCAAAATTAACCAAGTTTACAAAGGTGGACTTGACCACTGGTGGATTTGGTGGTTAGGTGTTATTATCTTGTCTTGGATCATTCTATAAGACTATGCTTATAGTTGCTAGAGCAGTCTTTATATACTTGTTCTACGTCATCATAGTTGTACTCTTCCTCTTCATGGTACAATCTCATTATACATCTTATACGATACAAAGCAGCACAAGTTCCCAATCAACCCATCTCATTCCCATTGATACCAACAGACTAGTCTCTGTACGTAAGCCAATAGCTGCTCATAACATAAGGTCCACCTTTTGGGACTTAGTTAAGTTTGCACAAAGTCGATTCTGAAACTTTTCCAAAAGGTTTCCAGGACTTTTCCAGAACAAACAATTGGCTGTGGTCTGGATTACTGGACATGTGGACAGAAGTATATCTTCGACTACCCTTTTGCCCTTAGGGGAGATTTGCCTTGGGCTCCAGAAGAGTCAAGACTGGTGGGAATGTGGGGATTTGATGAAAGTACAGCAACACAGAACATATTCTGGCTGTCTGGTGTTCTAAAAAATGTTCTGGAAACTTTGTGGAAAAGTTCCAGAATTAACATTGTGTAGTATGAATGTACACCACAGGTCTGGTGGCACGTGACGCTCACGTGAGATTTGACTCTGCAATTGAAACATGTGCTGTCTACATTGTCATACCCAACGTGAGTTACATGTGCCAGCCAGCGTGGCCCTCACCCAATCTGATCACCTTGCTAGAGCGTGATAACTCACCTGATGAGTGGGTGAGTCATCTCATATCATAACAAGGTGACATGGCTCACTCAATGAACAGGTGAGCTGACTTGCCTTGTTAGAGTGTGAGTCAAGCTTTGTGATGACCAGGTGTGAAAGCTCACACGCTGTGGCAAGCAAAACACACTTCTCAACCCTTTCTTTTTATATTCACAAGACTCCACATTTCAGCACATTTTTTTTCTTCTTATCCTCACATTTGATCAGTGCTGCTGAAACTTTACAACTCAGCAAGGAATAGTGGTAAGAGCATTTTAATCTTCAAATTTAGTTATTTAATTTAAAAAGAATCATAATCATATCAAATCAATTGAACTCAACTGATAGTACATGAGTCAAAAGAAATTTTACAATGTTAAATTTAAAAATAAAATCAATAGAAAATCAAGAGGAAGAAAAATGATGAACTCAATGAAAAGGATTGATTGATTCAAAGTTGAAAGAACTAAATGAAAAATCAAAATTGAAATAGAATAAAAGAAAAGAAAAGAAAAGAAAAAGAAATCGATTTTGAGGTCTTAACTTGATATTAGATGAGAACATGATGAATATTGAGCAAGGACTAATTGATATTAAAAGATCAAGACTGATCGAGTAACTTATACAAACAAGAGTTGGGATCAAGATCTAAACAACAAAAGTTGTGACGAGAAAGTGGAGAACGGGTGTTTTGACATTAGTATGCAGGGTGAATAGTAATGAAAACAAGATAAAAAGAAAGACTTACCTATATAATGATTTAAAATCAAAGGTACGTATTGAATGTGGAAATCAAAATTAAAAGTGAGAACTTGATTGATGGATTGAAATCAAAGCAAAAGGTCAGAATCAAAAGGGAAAGAGCTAGATCTTAAGTGAGATGAGGATGGAGGAAAGGGGTGTAGAGTCCTTTTGATTGAGATTGATCGATTGATTGGGATCCTACAATCAAGAATTTAATGAAAGACATTAAATAAAGGAAGATAGTTTTAATGGAGTGAAGAAATAAGATGTCAGTGGAATGAAGTGAAGATGAGATGAAGGAAAGAGGACGAGAGGAGACAGTTGACTTACAGCTGACTTAAAACCAAAAATCGAAATCGATAAGTTGGGAGAATGGACAGAGATCAAGGTTGAGATAGAGATGAGCAGGGAGTAGGTGTAGAGCTGTGTAGAGTGGTTGGCTTTGATTGGATCGGATCGATCGATTTATACCTTAGAGACTGGAAATCGACTGAAGAATACAGCAATGACCCATGAGAGCCCATGAGTGAAGGGGGACTCAAGCGTACATAGACTGGGGCAGTAGACAGAGTGTAGGGAGATCTGTGACATGTACCTGTGACGTCATACGTTTTGTAATTATATATGGATGAATGAAAATGAATTGAAATAAAAAAAAATGTTCCAAAAGATGTCTTCAAGATGCATGAGCTGCCCTGTTGCAAGTAAACCTGTGCCATAATGAGTCATACGAGGGAGGACTGTTCATGTGCTGAGCACCTGATCAAAATTAAATTGCCTGCTGAGCACCTGGGTGGTTAGCTCACCTGCCAGCGAGGTGCTCAGCAGGCGAATCATCTTATACTACCGGCAAGCAAGCTACATCACATGCTGAGCACCTCGTTGGCAGGTTGCGCTTGCACCAACCAGCTCACCCACTGATTGGCTGGTAAACCACACCATGCCAATGTGGTCTTTCTCTCAACATGTAGAGCAGGTGACAAGCATTGGGTGAGGGCCACGTAGCCGCACTCACGCTGCTTTCACCTGTTCCACACAACCACTTGGCGTGGTCATACCCAACTTACATTTCACGTGGTCCCAGTTCAAAGTTGCCCTGTGGTGTACAGGTGGCTATTGCAAATGCTTGAGTTACACAGTGCAGAGATGCTCTTGGTTAGCTCAGCAAAGCTCTCTCCTTCTGTGTGATCATTAATCAACAAAATCTTGCAACATAGAACTGGTGAGGAAGGGAAAAAATGATTGCACTGCATGCTGCACTGCCAACATAGATGCCTTGGGTTGAGAAATCCAAGACATCATTGGAGGCTAATCCTTGGACCTTGTCTCAGGTTGCTACCTGAGGTATTATTTTGCGCTTGGAATTACCTTGGGTCAAAACACCGGGAAGCTTCTGTCCAAGGTTTGGCATCCAAGGATACCTTGGATTGAAAAATCCAAGGTAAAAATGTTGGTGGTTCTGAGAGCATTAGCTTGTAAAAGCCCTCTCTGTGCAGCTGTGTCCGCGTCCTTGCCAAGGGGCTTATGACCAATTGTGAAATTCTGGCACAAACACTCCAAGAATGATCAAGTGCTGTTATGTAGTTTTTTGCATTTTGGTGCTTCCCTCACAAACAAATCTCACTTTATGCCACATGGGGCGGTTGTTCAGAATTGTTCTCTACATGTGTTTGCCTGTTTATCACCCAGGAAACCTTTCTTCATCATGCTGTTTTCAAGTGCTTATGTCCCACTGGTAACATGGGGTACAACTTGTATTTTCACTGTGCATGATTTAGAGGAAATCATCCACAGTCATTTAAGAAAAGCTCGCAACAAATTCCGAGCCAATTTGCTCGAGTTGTGCTGGGGAAATTGAGCAAGTTTTTGTAAATTGACTGGAAACTAATTTGGGACTTTCTGTTCAAGGCAAAAGTTGTACAGACAGAAGTAGTAACCTTCAAACCCCTTTGTTGGCTGTGTCACCCAGAGCAACTTTTCCTACAATGTAAAGTGAGAGTTGTGGGTGAGGGAAGCACCAAAATTCACAAAACCACTGAACAGCACTTAATCCTTGGAGAGTCATAAGCTCTGCGAGGGCGCGGACGCGGCCGCGCGGAGAGGGCTTTGTCAAGCTAATGCTCTCAGCATGCTGTGCAATCAATCTTTCACTTTCTCGCCAGTTTCTGGGGTGCAAGATTTTGTTGATTGATGATCACACATAATGTGAGGGTTTCGATGACATACGCAATTGCTCCTAACGCAGTATGGCTTCTAGAAGCTGCTCACCTGCTTCATATCTTCAGGCGCCTGCGGGGTTCGTGAAATGACATAAACTTTGAGCTGAAGGGCTTTCAGCAAGGGCATTCAACTTCCATCATAATCTAGCTGTCCGTAGATCAGCGTGCTGGGTAGGATCTGTCTTGGATTTGCAAATTGGTCGTCAAGAGAAGCACCCAAGATATCAAAAAAGATGTGTATGTGTATGTAAGTATGGCGACCACCCATGAAAACAAAGGTTTGATGTCAAGGCCCTTAAGGCCCGAAACGTCCCATGATCAAGCTGATACCGATCCTGTGACGGGGGGTCTTTGTAAATACCCTGAGCAAGAAAAGCGGCGAATGATACGGGCAGACAGCCGTGGATGATCATCGAGGAGAGCACGAAAAGTCCGACCAAGCAAGGTTCAACGGGAGTGATCACGTTTTGTGACTGTATCGACCAACTACGGAGGTTCAATTCCGTTGCTCTTCTTTCACTTTCACTTTCACTTTCACTTTCATCTACATTTTCACGTCTTTGAGGTAGTTATCGTCAATTGTTGGAAGCTCCCACCTCGACCTTGACTCTTGAACCAGTGATCTTTGCCCATTGAATTTTGTCAAGCAAAAGTCGATCTACTGGGATCGCCTCACTCTTCTGCTCATGGACGACACTCGAATGATTGTGGAGAAGCAAGGGATTTCAACAACTGACGAACTCGGCACCATCTTCTTTGACTTTGTACCTAATGTCACTGACAACGTTCCTCATTTGGTCGCCGTCGGGTCCACGTTTCCTGGTCACTTCATCAAGCATCCGAGTAAAGGGATCAGCTACTTGGTAAAGCTTCGGCATCTCGACTCTAGTACAGAAGGGGATGAGAATCAGATGGAGGTGAAATCTTGCTCCGTTACCCTAAACAAAGAGCGTTCACCGACTCTGGCAGCAGTTCCCTCGAGAGCACCGAGGGTATCATCAATTGAAATTCCAGAAAAGTCAGAAAATTTTTCCTCGACTGATATCGACCTACGGAGCCGAGACCGTACACTCATTATCAACTAATGCCTGCCTCTGTTATTAATCTTGGGACCCAATATTCCGTCAATGTTTGCTAGGATGAAAGTTAAATTCAATTGTGAGGAGCCAAATTGGAGGCAAGGGGCAATAGTCACGATGCGGGCCTCGATACAACTGGGTCAACCCTCGGCGCTCATTAATTGGACTCTTCTTCGGTGAGCGCGTCTATCGTTACACTGGGTATTCGAGCCAGACATCAAAGCTGTTGGGTAGGCATCGCTAGAGAGCCCGAACAAACTTTTCAAGCTTGCTAAGCGAATCCCCTCAACCCTCTATCCCTATGGCACTCCGCAGGCAGGTCGATCTAGGTGGCAATAAATCAAAGCCTTCGAGAAAATGCTGCATCCAGTGCGTGATTGCATAAGGTGCTTTCTTGGTCCAAGGTTAGGCCAGAGTGGATTGTTGAACCCCAGTCACATGTGTGGTTTCATGGATGCATGAGAGTCTAATCTACATCGATTAAGTAAGCCATACAATTTCTGTTAATCCATAGACTGAATCACCTTAACCCATGAGCTCGCTTTTGACAAACAGTTCCGATTCGAGCTTGCCATTAGGGCGCATATAATTTGTAGCAATATAATCTTCACTCTTTCGCAAACCAGCATGTTTCTTATTGCTTGTTCATACACGTTAGAACTAATACACGCAAAACTATTCTTTCATTAATACTCATAATTCATCACAGCCGCTCAATCTTGCGAGCCTGTCATTGCACATCACTTAGCCTGGCCCCTGTACCGTATACCCTCAAGTCAATCAGGCCTTTCTGTCGAGACATAGAGAGACAAACAGCACAGAAATAATGTCTCAACACCGCAACTTTGACTCTTATTCTAGATTCTAGAAATGACATAAACTCCTGAGATGGAAATATTTGAGTAAAGTCTTTACCAAGACTGATCTCGCCCGTGATCTTTATTGAATCTTCGTATCACAAGGCGATCGTATCCATCACGTACTGCGTTTCCAGTGAACGTGGTATTGAGAGGCATTGAGGGTACTGAGTGAGATGTATCTAACAATACGACTTTCAGATATAACCTGAAGGAGGTTTGAGATATCTTTCAGAACAGTAACAAAACAAGTCTATAGAGACTTCATCAAATAAAACTATCCCCAATCTCGAAAACGTCAAGAGTGATATAAATCAATAAAGGTCTAGTATGACTACATAGGTAAAACACACAAAGGCGTATTGGGAGTTGTTGATAATATTACGGGCAAAAAGATGTACACATGATGATAAATGATATCACTGATCTCAATCAATGAGGATCATGTTAATAACACGGTGACCCATCTGTTCATTCAACTCAGCAGATAAAGAAAGAAAATAAAAAGAGGATTTGGGAGACAAGATTGGATATGAGAATGAAGATAGTAAACTAGAGGTTGAAGGTATAAATGTATTAGTGGTGAACAAGGATTAATTCTATTACATAGCTTATTATCGTGAGCCCAAGCGGTACACATCCCACCTCCTCAAGATATTCATTGCAATAAGAAGCATAGAAACAATAACCAACAAGCAGATCTTGAAGTTATTCTCATGCCCAATTCTCGTGACGTTGCTTGAATCAAGACTTTCAGTATTCGCGTGAGGAATTCTCGAGGAAAGACAGTTGATCCTTGAATTCTATGATTCAATCCCAATCTCAATATGTGATCTGATCATCAGACTATTAAGAGTTCCATACCTTGATCTTTTGTTTCTAGATTTCAATCTTCTGAGCACATTTCCACCTCATGGAGCCCTCGGCGAGAAATTCCAAATCATGCTGGCAATAGTTCATGCGGTGAATAAATTCTATCGCATAACCAAGAATCAGATGCTATTATACTGATGGTGTGGATTGATTCAACTGAAGAAATTTCTGTCATAAACCACGCAGAAGGCTTCCCACATAATCTCCTGGGTAGAGCGGTTATAGCTATCTTGCGTAGCAAAAAGCCTTGCTTCATGACTCACTTTCACCCCAAGGTTCAAATTTAAATGATTTCAAACTTCAAGAATTCTTTAGTTATTGAACATCCCCCATTTCAACAATAACCCCATCTGAAAGTCATAGATATCATGAAGTCCACAGACCCAAGACCTGAACTCAGAGTGGGAACTTTGATGAAAGATGCGTTGAAAATGTTGACATATGATATGACTGCAAAAGATCTCATTAGCATTTTTCTCTCTCCTTCTCTTGAAAATTACATTCAAACATTTATCCGGCGAGCATGGTTGAGAGTCAAGGCGTTTCACCCTGAACCATCAAGTCTTGGTTTTTTCATCTTCTTTTCATCAAGTTCCACGTAGTAGATAGATAGGAGCTCTAGCTGCGAGTGTTTGTTTACCCCTGACAAGCCTCCAAAGAGGAGCCGATGAATCAGATTTGGAGGGCTTGTTTTATATTTTAGATAACATCGATCATCATGATTTTGGTGAACTCAATTATATCCCGAAGAGATAGTTGATGAAAAAGGTAGACGGATTGGGGGAATGGATCAATCGGCTCCGATGGTTGATTTGGGTTAATCGACTCCAATGATGATGGGATGGATCATGATTGAGAAGATGGATCTTAACTTGAGCAGGGTATGTAGAGGCATGAAGCATGAATCTCATTCACTGATCGATCTTGTGGTGAGACTTGTGTGAAGTTGGGATCAAGGTTGAGATCAAGTCATTGTATTTATAGAGTCAACCACTTGAAAACTGTTCTACATACATCATTGTTCTTGCTTGCTTCACTTTGAACATGAAATTGATGATGATGTGATATGATGGTCATCGTTTCTTTTGACTAATGTTATTATTATTAAATTGAGTAAACTTATTTATCGATCATTCTTTAAAAAGCTTTACTTACAATTCCCCTTTCCAGATCTCATCCAAATATACTCCACCCCTTAAACCACTCGCATACACTCAGCCACTAAATTGAAACTTTCGAATTATCCCTTTTCACCTTTTCCTTGTAAATTAAATCTCAATCGATTAGTCTTTCACGTAAACAAGGAAGACAAAAAGCTTGGTGACGCCAAACGACGACTGGGGAACTCATGAGTGAGAACCGAGATCTTACAACCACTGCAAATATAGTTTCCGAATACTTCACTTTACTATATCACACTTGTCATCTCGGTATACAATTCACCCTAAATCAGCCCCACTACCAAAACTCCAAATCACTTTTGCTTTGTGTCTGCGTCTTTTGATTGTTGTACCTGCTCGATTTCCTTTTACTAACTAACCTCATCACCCAAAAGGAAAATCGATTTATAATTTTAACCCGCAACCATCACCTTTGAGGAAGGCTGGGTTACCTGGTATATCGATCAATTCAAATTCGAATCGTTTTTATTCTGTTTTCGGTTAATTTACAAGGAAGTGAGTGATTTCTTCTCTTCGCTCTTCATCCCACCCTCTGATCATCGTTCTCGGTGAAGCCCCAAATGCGGCTCTTATCATCGCTTAAATGCCACGGATTTTTTGGGTGGTGTTAGTTTGTAATTCCCAGGGATCATTTTCCTAAACTGGTTCGTTTGGGATTCATGCATGCGTCCCACATTCCTCAAGTTGCTTGTTTCTTGTGATGCCATTCCTCTCTTTCTTTCCCTAGGATCCTTCATCCTCTCTCTCTCTCTCGTCATTGATTCTTATTCTCTCCTTGTCTGCGTCCTGTCCAACTGTCTGAAAATCGATTCTCATACTTTTTCACTCATACGTTCTTACCCCAACCTACAGCTACCTCAGCTTCATTATTCACAAGATTGATTGCTCCTTTAGCTGAGCTGAGAGCGATCGTGTTTGTTTTTCTTGTCTTTCCTGATACATAGCTTGCCGTCGATCGACACCACTTTTCTTCTCGGTCCGCCCGCTTCAAGGCATTGGTGAGTGTTTTAATGCATATAACCCATCAAGTTTCCTTCAGATCCCCTCAGTCCTCCGACTTCCCATCTTCGCTGCAATTCTGTCAGTCTGTCAGCATACATCCATCCCTGTTCTAATTTCTGTCGGTGGCAAAGCCCGCCTTCATCCGTTTCTTATTGAACTTTGAATACGAACTCACGTGGATGACTGATCGCATTTGACTTGCCATCCTTATTTCACTTGCTGGTTGATTTGTTTAAAGCCCAACTCAGCCCCTTCTGCTTTCTTCCGAGAATCTACAACTTTACAAATCAACGCTATACTCGTCATAAAACTAACTAAATCGCAACCGATTTGTCGTCCAACCCTTATTTCGTCGAAAGTGGGTTATCACGCTGTATACGATTCGGAATCGATCTTGAGCAAGATATACAGCCAATTGGTTCATAAACTATCTACAGCTACAGTCCAGCGGGATTTGGAAGGATCTGTGTCCAGCTAGACACTCGAGTTAACATCCGTCAAGTCAATATCCAGCCATTCCCCATTGATTCGAAACCACATCGAAGTTCATATCAAAACCGCAATTTCCCTCAAAGCCGAGTTAAATAAAACATCTCTGATTCTGGCTTTTCGTTTATTCCTTACTTCGCAACCGACCATCCGTCTCTCTCGTCCAACCGTCTCCAACGCCCATCTCATCCGATTCAGATTCTCACTCACAGTGGGGTTAGCCGATTCTCATCAATCCAGCGATACATCGACTGATCTGTCTATGCTAATTGCTACTAATATCCCCTAACTCACACCATCCCACCATTAACCCTGCTAGCCAATTCAATCTTCAGCGACCGTCTACAATCCACCTCTTCCGTTTTCAGGGTGCCTTTCATCTCTTGTCAACCGGTAGAAACATCTTTAACAGCCTCTACATTCTTCTAGCCCTCGTCAAGACTCACAAAGTCCTTACACGATATCCAGCAGCTTACCCACTCTTCGCTTCCTTCCTTATCGAGAAAACGGCGTCCCCTTGATTACCGCTGCATACCCTCCATCAACATCTTTTGACCTCTGCTCTGCTTCTCACCGCGGATTTTATCTGAATCACTCAATCACAGCGTCATGGATTCTTCGCATACCTCCCATGCCACAGCTGGCCCATCTCATGAGAGACAGCCCATACCCTCAATCACCCATCAAATGCCTCAAGACAGCCCATCCAATTGCCGTCGTAACACTGTGGCTTCGTCAGAAGGGTTTGGTGGGTTTCTTGACGATCCCTTCAATCCAACCTTTCGCTCGGGAGGCGGGATATCTAAACCATCTAGATCTCGTTCTGCTCTCAGGAGTCCTGCCAGCCCGAGCAAGAAACGTAATTATGGGGATAGGTGAGGATGACAACATACTTTTCTCATTGACTTGCATAGAGTATATTGCCCATACAAACTAACGCAACATTTTGTTTTCTCTAGGTTCATTCCTAGTAGAGGAGACGGCATGGATCTTTCGACGACATTTCAATTGATGTCGGATAGCCCATCCACTCCAACCCGCGGTAGTACTAAAAAGACGGTAGTGGCGGCTGTCACTGATTTGGAAAAAGGTGCGTGCCAGAAGTTGACTGGAATGTTTTGCTCATTCCGATCGAATCCAGGTCAATTGACTTGCAATTCCTTTTCAGATGAAGCCAACCGAACCTTCACCACACTACTCAAACAAGAGACCTTTGGCACAGAGTCTTCGGACATGGCCAACTTCATTAATTACCCCTCCGCCCATTCTCGACATGCATCTACAGTTTCGAACTCGTCGCCGGGTACCCCACGGAAGACCAACAACAAGCTATTCAACTATTCCTCACCTACTCGTCGCGAACCTTCCAATCTTGATTCACCCACACATCCTCGTTACAGCACCACTCCCATAAAATATGAGAGCGAGCGTTTATTGCTTTCTCCTCGTAAACCAACTCGCACGCTAAGTAAAGTACCATTCAAAGTCCTTGATGCTCCCGATTTAGCCGACGACTATTACCTCAATCTCATCGATTGGAGCTCTACCAATGTACTGGGTGTTGGCTTAGGATCCCAAGTTTATCTGTGGTCTGCCGCGACCAGCGCGGTGACAAGATTGGTGGATGTAAGTCTACCGCCACATGCCGGGCCGGACCACGTTACTTCGCTCTCGTGGATAGGTCGAGGGAACGTTTTAGCGATTGGTACAGACACAGGAAAGGTTCATCTCTGGGATGCTGAAGTGGGCAAACGGGTACGGACAATGGAGGGGCACGAAAGCAGGATTGGGTGCATGGATTGGAATGACTATATTCTTTCCACCGGATCTCGGGACCGGACCATTGCACACCGGGATGTACGTGCCGCTGAGCACTGGACGGCCAAACTAGGGGCACATAAGCAGGAAGTTTGTGGCCTGAAATGGAATACAGAGCTTGGTCAACTTGCATCCGGTGGAAACGATAATCGCCTTCTGATCTGGGAGGCAAGAGGATCGAATAGTGTACCATTACACAGATTCAATGAACACACAGCAGCCATCAAGGCCATCAGCTGGAACCCTCACCAGAACGGTATCCTCGCTTCCGGCGGTGGTTCGGCTGATAAACGGATCCGGTTTTGGAATACACAGACAGGCCTCATGTTGAATGAAATTGACACTGGATCTCAAGTCAGTATTCAATTCTCACTTATTGCACGAGTAATGCTCCTCATCAGTCTTCGTTTTTTATCCTATCCACGACAGGTGTGCTCGCTGAAATGGTCCAAGACTTCAAATGAGTTGGTCTCCACTCACGGCTTTTCACCTGGCCCCATCCAAAACCAAGTATGTCTGTGGAAGTATCCTAGCATGCAACAGATCGCTACGTTGTCTGGACACACATATCGTGGTGAGTATTTGATTTGTTTCATTCTAATGACATCGAATCAAAGTTAATGATATGTTTTGCAATCCCTAGTACTTTATCTAGCCATGTCCCCTGATGGTGAAACGATTGTGACGGGAGCAGGTGATGAGACCTTGAGGTTCTGGCACGCGTTCCCTAAGCCAAGTAAGCTGCGAGGTGGTCTTCGAAAGATGGACCAAGGTGGCTTAAACCTATTTGCCAACATTCGATAAACTTGCATCTCATCTTTTTTCATGCACAAGATAGATCTTTTGACTCTTTTCTTAAACATCTTTCTTCATCATTTTTGGTTTTATCTGTTTCTTTTCTGAGCATCTTCAAATTTCAAATATTCACGATTTATTTATGTCGTACTTTTCAATTCAATTATTTCTCCCCCTTTTTTTTGCTTGCTGCTTCTTGATGTAATTTGCTTTTCTTTCATCAAAAAAATCAATCTTTTTTCCCCAATATCTTGTTTGTGTGTTTGTGTGTAAGACCAGAAGATGAAGCGCAGTGTGTGTGTGTGTGTGTGTAAGAAAGCTATAAACTATACATTAAAGAAATTTGTTAAACAATATGTGACATTAATTAATATGGAGAAATTGAAAACTTTTAAAATTTTCAACCAAGGCTGAGTTTCATACATAATAGCCCTCCAAATCACTTATTGAATGAAGTAAACTGGACTTATTACTGTGGGCATGTTTTCTCAGTGAGCTCATTGGCTTTTCCAGGCCTCTGCTGCTTCTCATTGCGAGTGGTCCAGAGCGCATGTGCGCGGCCTTTCACAATCCACAAAAAGGGATCTCACGGAACACTCAGCTGTCGGGCCCGGCGTAAACCTTTAGTCGCACTTACGGCGTCACTCGGAAGAATAGCGCCAGCGCCTGACCGGCGCGCTTGTGAGACAAACGGACCCTGTTCAGTGTCCACAGGATTGTAGAGTCACTCCTCGGGTCACCGAAGAGCGGATCCAGCAAATCCAGCGCAATTTTGACACATTCCAAATTGCGTAAGCTCCATTTCCATTTTGGAAAATCAAATCGCCGCATCTGCGCGAACTGGACATATACATACCACGCAATCTCACAAAGGTCCACTTTACGCACCAGCGCTGGAGCTTATCCCAAGTGTTGTTGTTATAATTCACGGGCATCGTGAGTTAACTCCTGATAGTTTTCACATTTCTCAGAGGCTTTCTACTAAAGACTGACTCGATTCCAAGATAGAACCTTGCCAGACACTCTGCTTTTGCAGCATTGTTCGACGCGTGAGGAAGTTAGGTTATGAATTCACACCGTGTCAAGTCTCCATGTAACTTGGTAGGATGTACTAAACTTCATGCACATGAACAGATGAGTAGTCATGATTTAGCGGAGTCGCAGAAACAAATGGGTTGGCCATTTAATAATTTCAGGGACTGAGGATCTACTCACCTACATATCTGTTTCATTGCGTAGGAATAATCCAAGATGTGTGATCGATGAAAAGTCAAATTTTCATTATTTGAATAACAGTAGTGACGTACATATTAGGTAATCCGCTTTAAGTTCCACTCTTAAGTCTAGCCTAAGCCTTAGCGTTTGTTGGTTTTCGATCTCTTTTGATTTCCAATTCATCAACATCATCATCAACATCATCATCAACTTCTTCATCAATTCATTATTATAATGTCTTCACCTCATCAACATCAACATCAACCTTTGGCTTCCAATCATCATCATCATCCAACCAATATAAATACAAACTCTAGAAATGTTCAATCAAACAATTCGTTAGATCAAGATCAAGAAGGGATGCGAACTCCAACAGCTGCTATCAATTCTTCTCAACTGCTACCTACCTCAAATTCTTCAAAGAAACTATCAACTCAAAGACCTGGCCTTCCTAATGCTCATGGCAGTTACTTCAGCTCTCAATCTCAATCAGGAAACGGTCTCACAAGTCCTATCAATTCACCTAATAGTCAATATCCTCATCCGCCGCTTTCTAGTCACATTCCTATCCCCTCAGCTATTCCACCTATCAAAGCTGAACAGGATTCTACACCTTTGCCCACCTTGCCAATCGTGGTATTATGCTTTGCAATGATTTCAGAATTCTTATCAGCTTCTGTTGCTGGTCCATTCATCTTTTTCATGATTGAAGATTTTGGTGTAGGTAAAGGACCTGACGGTGGTGGTGAAGCTGCTGTTGGGTTTTGGGCTGGAATTGTTTCATCAGTCTTCTTTTTATCTCAGTTTCTTACTTCCTTACTTTGGTCAAATGTCTCAAATAAACATGGTAGAAGGATTGTGCTTTTTACTTCTCTTTTAGGAAATGCTATCACTCTACTTTTGTTTGGTTCTAGTACTTCACTTGGAATGGCTATTTGTGCACGTCTGGGTCAAGGTATCTTCAATGGTGCAATCGGGGTGGCAAGAGGTGCGGTAAGAGATATTACGGACTCTACTAACGAAGGCCGCGCGATCGCTTGGATCGGATTATGTTGGGGTATGGGTGGTATTGCAGGTCCAATCATTGGTGGTATGTTCACTTCTTTCCAGCCTATCACCATGTCTCTACCGTACTCATGCACCTATTGGTAATACTCAATCCTTCTGATCAGGTCTACTGGAACACCCCGCCGAAAATTATCCTGCCATCTTTGGGAGTGTACAATTTTTCAAAGACTACCCTTACTTCCTACCTTGCTCAGTGGCCAGCTTCATCACTTTCGCAGGAGCGTGCCTTAGTCTTTTCTTAGGCTGGGATGGCGGTTATCGCTCCAGCGCGATCAGATTGCCTGAAGGTAAATTAGAATTGGCTCATCAGCTCGACAACACCGAAGAAGAATCAAACGCGAGTGTAACAGAAGATGAAGGTATCACTCTTACCCGACCAGTCCCCGCTTCGTCCGCGACCTTCCCACTACCACAAAGCATCAAATATGCTCCAGGACAAGAACCACCACCTAGAAACCCCCTGAGCTTATCTCGTACATCTACGCGTCAATCTACCAATTTTACTCCTGGATCTGCCTATGGTTATGATCGAAGAAGTTTCTTGGGAAATCGGCGACCGACCAACTTCAGGGCTAGTCAAAATGGTATGGGTAGTATTCGGAGTGGACATGCGACTGCACAAAGAAGAGCTAGTCGCGCTATCAGTTTAGCTCGTAGTTTTGGTGGTGATACTCAATATGCACCTGATTACGATGACCTTGAACATGATCAACCGGCTCCGACTTTGAATTTTGCACAAAGGTTGGCAATCATCATCTTCTTGAGCTGCTAAGCACGATTTCCAATGGGTTAAGGCTAACGTATCACCTTCTTTTCCAGATTGTTGCTCGCCAACGAGGATGCGGTTTTTGGTCTACACGATGTTTGGCTGGCAGCGGCCACTAGCCAGGATCGTGACGATGAATTTTCTCAAGTTGACGATGACGGACCTCTTTTGGATGATTCAGTCTTTGGCGATGATGAGTCTCAATTGGATGAAGACGGCTTTGGTTATGATGATGATGGAGCGAGCGAATTTGGTTCGGTTAATGATCGAGGTCGAATGTACCTTGAACAACACCAACGACCAGATAGACTACAATCTCAATCTTCGGTCAGACCTCGTGACATCAATCAAAATTCAGTCAGACAACGTCTTGGTAGTCGAATTTCACCACGTCCTTCGATCTCAGGTTCCAACTTACTCCCTGGTAGCTTTCATGCATCTCGTTTCGGACCTGGTATGAGATCAGTCAGTATCTCCTCAGCTATGCGTCCGGCAATCTATAACAACACTGGTCTCTCGACTCCGCCCTCCAATCCCTCACCCTTCATGAGCGCTCATAACGCACAACAACAAGCATTGCGAGATCGAAGTAGTGATGGGCAGACTCCATTGTCAAACAGTGTACCACCTGGTTCGAATGCCAATAACTTGGCTGTGATCCCTGAAGGTGCTCGTCATCCAAGTGCAAATGTGGCATCAGATCCAATCTCGAAACCACAAGCGGCGGGAAGTAACAGTGTGTTTGGTCAACTCCCTCTTGCTATCATTGGACAGTATGCTATCATTGCTTTACATGGGACAACGTGTGATCAATTGTTTATGTCAGTTTTATTCGAGCTGATCTGTTTATTGCTTGAGATTTGGTTCTTTTTCTAAACGTTGTGATTCGACTTACAGGTCATTCCTTGTGACTCCAGTCAAGTCTGGTGGTCTAGGATTATCAGCCGGGCATTTCGCTGAATTAATTGCTGCAGTCAGTCTTTCCATTTCTCTCTCATGGGCGACAGGTCTATGAATGCTCTGAAGAACGGCAGTAAAAAGAACATCACTGATCGACCTTTTCTTTTCGGGGTTAAAAGATGTGTATTGCTCAGATCGTATTTCAATTCCGATTTTATCCAACAGTAGGACCACCAAGAGGAAAACTTACCCATTTATCGATGTTAAGATTAGGAATGTGCTTATATATTCCAGTCTATTTACTCTTACCTGAACTTAGAGCGCTACTCAGAGAAACTCATAATGGTTTAGTCATGTTTGGAATGATTTTGTTATCTGCATTCCGTTGGTTGGCAAATGTGTGTGCCTACACTTCGGTAATGGTCATGAGTTGAGTCATGTTTTCTAATAAGATTGAGAGAGAGGTTTTACCATGGAGACTGATGAATATTTATTTATGATAGTTAACGCTCAGACACCTGTCCATTTGTTGCCATTGGCAAATGGTTTGGCTCAAAGTGCAGTTAGTGGTTCAAGATTCATTGGACCTATCTTTGGTGGTTTGGTATGCGGAATTCTTTTTGATAAGATGCAAGAGAGAGATGAACTTATCGTATGATTGCTTTTTTTGTTAATCTAGGTTTGGTCGTTTTCAATCACTCCTAGTCCTGACGCTAGACCTTATCCTTTTAATAATGCACTTGGATTCTTTGTGATTGCTATCATTTGTTTTACAGGTTAGTGTTTTCTATTCTTTCCATTCTGTGAGTGAAAACCCCTGAGTATTGATTTTTTTGGGTCTGTTGCCATCTTTTTAGGATTGATGTTATCATTCAGACTTAAATAATTCCCTAACATCATGTCGAAGAACATCATAAAGTTCTGGAAAGGATTCTTTTCGAGTTTCAATAAGGGTTTTTCTTAGTTCAATGATAATATATTGTACTTCTTCTGATTCTAGTTCTTGGGCAGTACAAATTGAGTTTTCTACATTAGATTTCATTTTTGAATTGTTGCTCTCTTTTCAATCAATTTTCAAGTTTGGACTTAAGCATATTAGATGGTCTTGATTTTTCAGTAATAGTCAATCTTCTAATCATGTTTCAAGTGGGTTTCCTCACCCACTTTTCTTCAATCAAACAGTTTATATGAAAGAGTTAATCAACTAATTCAAAGTCTCTATTTAATTCTTTTTTTTTTCCTTGAAGTGTTTTGTGTGTGTTTTCCCAAAATATTTTGTTGCCTTTGTCTTTTTGAAGAGATCAAGAAAGTGTTTTTTCTTTGGTTTTGTATAGTTCATAAGTCTTTTCTTTGTTTTAGGTTTGTATGATTTGATTGTATTGATTTCATAATTTCATGTTTCTTTTTGTGACGAGCTGACTTGGCCAAAAATAGCTCAGTGGTTTAATTCTATCAACAGCTGAATCTCTGAGTAAAAATATATGGCAACCATTCCGGACGCGCCCTAGTGTTTCAGTGCAGCATGTTCCACAAACACCTACGCAATCTGAAATTACCACACCAGGAACTTGCCTTCATGGGTGAAGGTCCAAGCAACTGTTCTAGAAGCTATCTACATAAGAGTCAGTGGTAGAGATGCAAGATGACTTAACCATGTCCCAATGTGAGGATAACTCTCTTCCAAGGTGGCCATGAGAACAGACGTATAAGTTACATAGTCCCAATGCGAGGAAGCTTTCGCCGAAAGGCCTGTTAGGTAACGCCTGTCAACAAAGCTCCACGCATTGATCCGGCGACAGAGCGGGATTTTGTTGAAGTTAGGTAAGCTGTGAATTTGGACGAAGCGGAAAGCTGTCACTCGCACGAGTGAAGCAGCTCCTGGATTGCAGGACCCTTTGAATATTCTGAAAATTCCTGGACAGGTTTCCAGAACCATCTGAGGCCGATGAAGTTTATGTACACCAGGGGGTAATGGTCCTCGGCCTCGGCCGGTTCCAGTTTCGTTCCCAAAGTTTTGGTGAATAGAACCGCTCAGGAACCGCTGGAACCGGTGTCGCCGATGCCGTTTCGGACACTGTTCCGCGAACCGTTCAGGAACGAGCCGCATGTCAGCCACCGTTTGAGAACGTTGGCTGATGCGGTTGTGAAGTGGTTTCTTCGACACCGGCTGAAATCGGTGTCGAACTGAACAGTAACCGTGTGGAAACGGTCACCGCGGGGCAAAGGCGGTCTCCCCTGTTGGGCAAGACTGAGGTAACTTGCAAAAAATTCTCTGCATCAGCAATGACTGTCGCACCGGCTGGACCAAGACCATTGTTTGCAAGTCTGAGCTCTTCTAAAGGTAAATGGGAAGAAAGAAAAGGGACCATAGAGTCTACACATCTACCACCGAATGCGTTGTAGAAAGATCAATGATAGTAAGGTTGTTGAGGTTGAAAGGTGAATTGCAAAGTGAGGATAAAGCTTGTGGGATTTCTGGTATAAATCGACCGGAGAAGGTGTAGTTATGGTTGCTATAAACCATCTGGGTGGTTATGCCCCTGATTTTAGTGTTTTTTTGGCCACAGGCAGGGGTTCGAGTCCCCGGGGTCAACACCCGACTCGCAGCGCAGACTGCGAGGCACAGCCTGCGCCTGCGCTGTGGCACAGCGCTGGGGTTTTTGAAAATATGGCGACTGCGCCTTTTCACAGCGCAGGGGCTTTTCGACTTTTCGCCACTGCGCCTTTTTGCAGCGCAGTGGATGTGTCACTTCTCCAATGGAAAATTGAAAAAATGGGCTTTCCATCCGCCAGAAAAACAATTTTTTTGCCCACTGCGCTGCGCTGGACTTACCTGCGCTGGAGCGCACCGCAGGGGCCTCAAAGATTTTGGGTCACTGCGCCCTAGCGCAGCGCAGTGGGTTTTGGAATTTTCGATTTTTTTGGCGCAGCGCAGTTTCGCGCATTCTGCGCTGTACTGCGCTGACGTCGGGTGTTGCCGGGGTTCTGTTCTTTTGTTGGTGTGTACCTCGAATACGTTCCTGGAACGGCATGAGCAACCGGAGCCAGCGGTTCCTCCGGTTTCTCACAGAACGCTCCAGGAACCCCTGGTCACGGTTCCACCCACCGTGACCAGAGGTCACAAAGGCGGTTTCCTTCCACCGCATCGTGCGGTAGTGGGAACCGCCTTTGTGACCGAAACGCTGAAAACGTCTCAGAAAGGTTTCGACTAAATTAAAAGTCTGAGGTTTCTGAGCGGCTCCAAAAACGGTTATCGCGCGGTGCGATTTACCCCCTGGTGTACCTCTTGGTGTGATTTTGAATCAACTTTGCAATATATATTCAGTATATATTGTCGATTGCACAAAGCTTGCCAAGGCTTCAGCGCCAATTTGCTGGATTTTTGCGGGAAAACATGTTTCGAATTGGACAAGTTCTTTCGAAATTGACAGTAGGTTTATGGAATTGATGCACGCCTCTCTCGACTGCTTGTTCAAATTCTTTCACTTCACATACAAGAGGCCGGATCTCCACGTTTGCCTGAACCCACATCAACTCCACTCCACTCTACTCTTTTCTGTTTATTTCACGCAGATTACTCTCGCCATTGGAGTACACAGCTTAGGCGCGTCTTCTTGAACTAGGTGTGAGGAATCATTTGACCGAATTCAGGTGAGATGATACAAGCATCAAGACTTCGTGAGTGTTGCATGTGCTGATTGAGGTTAAGTTGATTGAGAACTCGGAAGCCGAATATCTATCAGATCAATATGAACTTGCGTTCTTTGATCTTCGGGTTCCTTTTGTTTGCACTAATCGTCATAGGGAAGAGGGCAAGAATCGTCTCGGGAGCGATTAGGAATGATGACGCTGGAAACCAAATACAAGCCCATGGGGGATCCCTTTTACAGGTACGTGAAAAGCCTTAGCAGTGATCAGTCACAAAGCTGATATTCCTTTTTTGATTCCACAGCTGGGAAACGAATGGTATTGGTTTGGTGAGGACAAGGGGAAAGGGAACACGTTCAATGGCTTCAGTTGCGTTGTCCTTCTTCTATTTCAAAAGACCCAATGGAGTGCTGATGCGGATCGGATGATCTTTAGGCTGTTATAGGTCCAACGACCTTGCTAGCTGGACGAGGCTACCAAACGTGTTGAGTATTAAGGCTGGCACCCCATTGAATGGGGATATGGTGGGTGAAAGACCCCGAGTTATCTTTAATCAGGCCACCAACAAGTTTGTGATGTACTTTCACTATGATGTAAGCCTTTTGAGATATACAATGTCCCTTGCATAGTTTATGCTTACCAGTGTGCCACTGATACCATGACGGTTTATGTAGGACCCACAGTACGTCTATAACTCATACCCCGATGATGTATGTCCAACTAGATGTCCCCTGACAAACTTTTGCATCTTTAATCTTAAAGTTACCGACTGGGGCAAATTGGTATCGCGACAAGTAATGAGGCAAGTTTCTATCCATCAATCGACGAACATCACTATAGGTTGCAAAGACTGATTTTGAACCTTGCAATCTTATCGACCAATCTTGATGGGCTTCCCTGCGACCAGGTCGGTTCAGGCTGGAAGTTTGATAGAGCAATTTCACCCCTCAATTCACAGAGCCGAGATCTTTCCTTGTTCCAAGATGATGATGGAACAGCTTATGTGACCTTTGCCTCTGGTAAGCCTACTCGATCTTCTTCTCTTTACCAAAAGGCACTCGCGCTTTCAAAATGACTGATTGACGGCGGGTAACTCGGTTTCAGATAGCAATGCGAATTTGAAGCTAGCTCGTCTCAGTAAAGATTATGTGAGTGCTTTCTGAAATCTTCATTGGGCAAGTCCGAAGGGTTGTTGATTGGAACATTGTGATTCAGATGGATGTTGAGGAGCTAGTTTATGTATGGAAGCAGGTGTTCTGGGAAGCAACCGGTATGATCAAGGAAGCAGGAGTTTATCACATGATGTTTTCACTCCAGGTGATTACCCTTCTAGCATCATGATACATATTAACTTTGAAACTGACGGCAACTCTGAGTGGGGTTTTACGGACGTCCTCAAGAAAGGTTGGTCCGCAAACGCGAACAAAGTTACAAAGGCGAGCAATTTGGCTGGTCCCTGGTCAGATGCGGTCGACATTGCAGACCCCAAGCTAAACACGTATTCATCACAAAACACATATGAGCTTACTGTCACTGGCACTCAGGCCACGACTCATATCTGTAAGTCAGGTCCCAGCCATTATTGCCGAGTAAATCTGTCTATGAAATGACATTTACCATGCGCTCTTTCGTAACACAATCAGTCATCGGGGATCGTTGGGTAACAGACGGACTCGGAAACTCAAAGTATATCTGGCAACCCTTGACGATGCGGGATGGTGACTTTCACATCGACTGGCACGACGTCTGGGAGATCGACGTTCAAACAGGTAAAAAGAATTCTTCCCGCATCCTTTGTGAAGGATATGTCTATCACACTGCGAAGATAATGCATTTTTCCCAGGTGAAAAACAATTGAATTTTATCTGAAAATAATTAAAAAATCCAATAGTTTTTCACTTTGATAATATGCTGTGAAAAATTGTTGATTGTCTCAAGATGTGAAAAATAACGCATAGGCAGGACAATCAAGACCACACCAAACCCCAGTTCATTCCTAGAAGTGTTTCTCAATCTGTAAAAACTCAACTCTTACAGGCGTGCAGCCAATATCCCTCATCACAGACTTCAGATGAGACCCTCTCTGTAACTCTATTTGAGTGTCACAATCAAGTTCAAAATCTTCAGTGAATTCATTTTCAAAATTTTGACTGTTCTCCATTCCATTACAACATATAATGACTCGGAGACAAAAAAAGATCAAGAATATGTGGATCTCTATAACATGACACTGTCTTCGTCCACAGTGACGTGGGTAAGTACGGTTTAAATATGAGTGTACAAGCAAGAGAGAGGGATGTATGTAGAAAAACCTGTTCAAAAGACGTAGATTAGTCTTAATCAAAGTCAATATCAGAGACATATCACAACATACCTTTGATGACTTTGCTGAGTTCATCGGTCCAATGATACCAAGGCGATAGTTTTCATGTTCAGTTGGTGAGTTATTTCGCGAGATCCGTAAGTCATCCAAGCACAGTGGGCTACAATCTCGTCGATATGCATAAGGACGGGCGGTTGTTCAATATCGAGACGTAAGTAAGCCTGCATATCCGGCTTTCCCAGGGTTCGAAACGGGTTTGGTTTTGTGATAGGAGCCTGAGGGAAGACTCGAATGGAGACCCAGGTGTCGGAAACTGGAGGCTCTCCTACCATTGGAACTCGTCGATGATGGAATATCGAGAGTATCTGACCAAATGATACCGTGTTGTCTTGGACCGATCGGGTCTGGACAACGCTGTTGTCTGGATTGTCAGATAAAGTAGAGTATATGACCCCTTCACGCTTGATACGGGGCACAAATGTTGCAGTTGAAACCACGGGTGAATATTCGGATGCGTCTTCTTCCGACATAAGACACCATCTTGTTGATGGTATCCAATTGCGATGATTGAACTTGCGTATGTTGAGCCGATGGACTAATTGTTGAAAAAGTTCATCTTCGATCAGAGAGCGTGGGTCGGGTTGGGGGATGGTCTGGGCTACGAAAGGTTCCGGTTCAATAATTGACAATAGCTGTGATCGATAAGGGTTGACCGCTTCTGGAAGTCTTCCATCTCTTAGTAGAGAGGAGAGATTTCCGGCGCGACAAAATGTTTTCAGAAATGTAATTTCAAGCTGGCCTGCAACAAAAAGGGAACTGATCAGTCGCTAAAATCTAGCACAATAGCCATAGTATGGTAATACTTACCAAGGTGGTTGTTGTGATTAGCCTGTAGGATCCGCCCCATCAGACGCTCGAAGGGAAAAGACCACCAAGCTCTGACCGGGCCGAATTTTTCGAGACAGTCAGCGAGGTGGAAAGCCATATGGTGGTTTGGCGCGGGTTTACAGTGCGGAAAAAGGGACAGAGCTCCTTCCATGTAAGAGTGAATGTGTTTTCGATAACGCGAGATGCGTTGTGTCGTCATCGTGCGCTTGAGAGCAAGATTTACCAAGGAAACTAGATTAGCAAAGTTTTGCAGGAGAGAAAGGTGACCTTGATCACCATCACTCCAGATGGGGATAAGGATTAACGGAAGTTGAGCGGTGAAAAGATTTCGCCACTCATCCGCCTTGAGTTTGCCATAACTCTTCTTGCCCAATTTCGGGCAGGGGCGTTCAATCCACGTCGGAAGATGAACTCGAGGGAGTAATGCATTGATTCTTTCGAGCATTACACAATCAAATACAATAGAATCTTCATGTGGTTCGACCCACACACCCTCCCAACCTTGACTTTCGAAATCTGGATCCATGAACGAATTGTCCGTACTGCAGGCAAGGTCTTCTAGACGAGGTCGAGGAGCAGATGGGTGTGTAGATGTTGACGGATCATCAGACTCCGAAAAATTATCTTGAGGCTCTTCGAAGTCTCCGGCTGCCATGTCTCGCAGGAGATCTTGCAGTTCGGGGACGGTTGTTGGCCTTGGCTCGGGTTCATCGACCTCGTCGTCTTGCATGGCCCAAAATCGCCGGCAGTGCCAATTTAGTAAGCCGAGCAGTAAGTTATGCATCGAATCGACCACCTGACATTCGATTAAATCCCAATATTCGAGTTCAAGCAGAACCGAATAACGCACGCCATGTTTGTCAAAGATCTTCTTACGCTGTGTAGGATCAGTGGAGTTCTTGGAAGCATAGGCGTGTTTCTTGTGCTCAGCAAAATTTCGACAACGCCAAGTGCCTTGATCTATATTGCCGATCTCGGAAAGCAGAAGGCCACAAAATGAACAAAAATTTTTCGACGTTACACTTGCTAGGCCAAGGGTGCGACGAATAGCTGGAAGATCTGCGATGAAAAGGAGAAGCGCGCCTCGAATCAAACGACCTTGGGGATGCGACGGCGTCTCAGATAGAAATAGACCGTCCGACCAAAGTTTTTTAAGTTGCATAACTACAGGAGACAGTATCCAATTCGTCTGCTCAAGAGCAGGTTCGTGGGGGCCGGGGGCGATTCCGACAATGAAGATGTTTTCCGGAAGATATCGATATTGGAAGGGAAGTGTCAAACAGATAAGAACAACAAAAGTGATCGAAACTTTACGCCCACTTTGTTTGTTGCCGTACGGGTTGATACCGTCAACAAACATGGCAAACGCGAGATTACCACTTTGAGCAGTAAATTGTGACCCATCAGGACCTTTGAATTTTTTCCACGCAAGCGATTGATGAATATCACCGATCTCTTGTTCAGATGAATATGGTTTTTTAGATTCAGCAAGAGATTTGTCGAGAATCTCTTCAACATTTGGACGACAGATAAAGCGTGCAATCCACGCCTCAAGGTCCTGGAATCCCGTTTGTCGGCTGGGACGATGGGCCTTGAAGAGAGGCGTTGAGCAAGTCGTGATGTTTTGGTCCATATGAGCATCTGAGTTCTCGAAGGGCGGTGGAAGAAAAGCGTATTGAAATAATCCAGGTACAGTATTCAAAGGGAAATTACACATTTTAGGAGTGTGGTCGAGTCGAAACAAAGCAAAACATGATGGGCATGTGTTGAGAATAGTAATGCAAGGATCGAGGTTGAGCTTAGAAAACACCGTGTGAATATTGGATGGGATTTCGTCTACGTCCTTCTGTTGAGTATACATCAATTTCGAGTGTGCTTGAGTAGTCGTGGATCCAGATTCTTTTATCAACTTGACATAATGACGTTGCGTCTTCAGAGCCCAAGTAGTCGCGATTACCGACAAATTTGAAAAGACCGCAAGAGACGCAGTGAATAGTAGGGGAAATAGCATAACTGGATCGGTGTTGGACACTTTGTCTTCCAAATTCGAAGCTGAAAACAAATGAGGGTCAGTGTGGTGATCACGGTCTTTGCTAATCTACAAATAAACAACTCACACGTATCAAAAATATCATGGTGTCGAGTATCAGCTGGATATCCTTGGAATGGGCGATTACTAGGGCCAGCTTCGGTGCGGAAGCTCTCGGAAGGGGCTCGGTGAGAAGTCTCAGGTCCATGACGACGCTGAGAACGCGTACCTCGAGAGAAGTTGTTGGCTGGATCTTCAAATTGGCGAGTAGAACGAGAGGAGTTGGGGATTTGGCTATCCGGTCTGGAAGCATGAGCAGGGGAGGCCTCCGTTGGTATATGACCTTGCGTGGCTGACGACAGATTTTCCGACGTCATAGACAGGTCACGAAGCTGATCTGAAAGCTGATGAGCCTTGAAAGTACAGTGATTGACTCGATTGCCTTTTTGATTTTGCCCATTGGGGTCGATATATTGCCGCTGTCCACATCCATAAGTGTCGCATCGGCAGACAGCGAGCCGGTAAGCGCCACGTGGAGGCATCGGCGATTTAGATCTATATGTATGGAGTTGTGAGGTGAAGTTCGGGGAGCCTGGAAAGATGTATGAAAGATTTAAAGTCAGGAAACAAGAAAGTAATTTGTTTGAACTGAAGGATCGAGAGTAATTTGGCTGAGCGGAAGGTGATTTTATAGCTGCGAAAAAACGATCCTCAAGGGGAACATCGAGTATGTAGTGTGGTACTGCAAGTCAAGCTACCTTTGAAAGATCGTTACAATCTAATTCCCAAAAACGAGGGATATATCAACGTGCAACTCCCAAAACGATAAGTTGGAAAAACGCACATGAGTGATACAAAGGAATCCAGAAAAGGGGTGATTCGAATAAGGCAGACGAATCTCTTGCAACCCATGGTAGACCCTCACGCGAAAGCGGGTGTGAAGCGGGTACAACACTTCCAAATATCAAAACGTACGAGCGGGTCAGCGAAAGTGTGTCAATCAAGTTGTACCCCCTTTTTTGAGGTGGGGCCGTCAAATTAGAAATGCCCTTTGACAAACGGGTTCGTTGATCTTGGGACTGTAATCGTAGATAGTTCATCGTCCCTCGTGCCGGATGCCGCTGTGCTAGGCTGTGCTTGCTACAAGTCGATCACACGTCTTGTATCAATATAATCATCAAAATCATTTGGTTAGCATCTCACTCACTCGAAAGTATGTAACTGCTTCTCACCTTTTCTCCGCACTAAACTGACTGCTTTGTCAACATGCCACGTAGGAAACGCGAGTGATGATTCCGCCTTTATTATCCGGCGTAAGTCATGGTATTCTACCCGAGTTGAGGGATCTTGCACTTCATGACCGACTGCCAAATCCTAACGCTATCCCGGGAGGCGGCTCGACTTCAGATCGACGTGAACGCGACTTTGATATCTATGTTAAAACCCATCTTGATAACGGGTTTATCCACAACGTCGAAGAAGCTATCACGGTACATATACATAAACATGACTTCCTAAACCACGACGAGATTGAGACGATTCTCGATGCTACCATCACGTTGAACGATGAAGCCCACGACATCAACACTTGCCTCGGCGATGCTCAACATCTGCTCTATTACTCGCGAATGATGCTACGTTCACAAGACCCAGATGTTATTCAACACCGTGAACTTTTCAAGAGTCAATATAAATTGTCACGCAAATCCTACAAACGCCTTCGGTCCAAGTTACGAGAGTACCGCAACTATGTCATGCTTCTATGGGGAATGATGGCTCGGGAGATGTGAGTAGAAGTTTCAAATCAGGTTGACATATTGAATCTTAAGGAGATTATCCCTACTGACATTTGACTTCGTGCGTTGAATGGTTTCACAATGTGTCAAACACAGCAAACGGACCTGCGATATCGAGGATGCTGCTGTTAATGGAGCGGAACCTGAGCTCGCCGCGCCGCCCTACACTCGTTCACCTTGAGGCACTGTTTGGGTTTTTGATCAGAATAAAGAATGTTCAATTAGTGTCGTGAATCAGGAAGTGTATATTTGAAAACTATTTCATTTTCTCATCTTAGCTCCACCACTAAATATTGAGAGACAAATTAGATCTTGAGCTTAATGTCATAGTTTCCATCCTGATAATCTGTTGTACCGTGAAAAAAAATGGAAGGCAATGTAGTACTTTTGGATCTGTGTCTTTTGGGGCAATTTGAAATTAGCTGCCATGTTTTATAGCGTAGAGAACTGGGAAAGGAGGTGAGCCAGCACCATGTCTTATAAAGAGTTGAAACGATGTCAACAGACTGTGAAACACGCTTGTGGTGTTGATCTCTCTCTGCAATTATAGAGTGTCTTAATTAAGCATGAATCTTGCGCACTCGTGTGAACTTCTTATTGAGGGACAAAATTGACAAGAATTGTAAGACGAACAAAAAAAGAGGTAAAATTCCGATTCATCCAGAGAAACAACAACAGTAAGGGAACAATCCATCCGGAATATGACATGATGAAAGCAAGAAGAACTGCGTGTCTACTTTCTTCGCCGTGGATGGGAAGCAGACCAAAGTATTCAACCACGATCGGAGGCAAAGGATTACAATCACTACTAAAGGTGCGATTCCGTGGGGTATTTTCAGAAACCAGCGGGCCAATCATGATCACTCCCAGATAATCTCAAGCTCAATACGTACGCATGAATTACAAATCGCGGTGCCCTCATTGTGGTGGTGCGCACGAAGATGCATCCAAAGAGTCCACTTCAACTGTGGTAGAAACATGGTCCTCAGTATTCATTTCTCGAGGTAAGCGCGGTTCATGATTACTGACCAGCATCAGTGACAGGAACAAGGTCCTCATAATAAATCAACATGTTTTCCCATGGACGCCAAATCGAACAGGCTCGGATGCAGGGGAGTACAAAAGTTTCGAAGAGCACGAGGGCAGCTGGTTTGCTGATATGAGTTGGGGCGCTCCGGGGAAAGAAGATCTGATGTATTTCCTGATGCTCAGCTGTGGTAGCGAGTCGGAAATTGTAGCCGGGCTCAATGAATTTATGAAGATGAGGTGGGATCGTGTACTTGAATACGTTGTGAAGCCGGTAGGAGCTAACGGATTGAGACATGTTGGTTCAGAGAACAGTGTATCTAGGCAGTGATTTATGAAGTCGAAATTCTTGAGAATGAAATAATCGATGGTAACGTGGATGAATGAAAAAGGTGATTGATTCGAAGGAAAACCTTGGTATTATACCCAAGAATGGTATAGAGGAACCAGTTCGCTTTGAAGAATGGGAATTGGTTCCTCTATACTTGATCAAAGGGACATCGCATCCTTCCACTATGTTCAAAGTGTTGATCCCCAAGAATGGCATCGGGTAAGTGCAAATGATTGATGATGGCCTATGATCGTCCTCAGCAGTGCTGATCAAGAGTCTGTTCAGCCTGGCGGCCTCTTGTGTGGGTACCTGGCCTCGAAGAAAGGGAAATGGCATCCTTTCACGCTCGTCGTAAGTGCCGTTCTGACTTCGATTGCGAATCATTCTCCTCAGGCCTCAGGAGTCTGATCAAGACTCTGTTCAGGTTCGAGAGTAGCAAGCAATCAGATTTCGATGATCTTCTTGGATATAAATAGACATTGAGGATGGGCCCAAAGTTTATCCAGGACCATTACTTTAGGCTCCTACGTCAATTGACATCCTCGTGCCCAATCCTATCTACTCGCGAGAACAATTAGAAACATGAACAGCCTACCTTCTACCAGTCAAGCTCCTACATCAACATCAAACCCAATCGCGAATGACCACCCTTACATCGCGATCATCCAGACCGTCCCACAAGAGCTACAGTTCTTGCTGGGTCATCCTGACGTGGATTACAATGCACGAAAAACTACCCGACCTTTGATGCGTAAGATGATGGAACTGTTTGGATTCAAGGTCAATCTTCCAAAAGACGCCGACAAGACCAGAGTTGTGAACCGATATCGCGACGATTTCCTGCCAGGGCTTCTCCCATTCCTTCCTCAAGCTCAACAAGTAAACCGGTCTACCGCACGATTGCCAACTATCACGACCTGTCCAGGCGCTACCCCCTCCCATACTCCTGGGGACTCGGATCTCTCGATGCAAGACGCGGCGGCTATGTTCGTGGACACCAACGCCAAGAGTACAACCAAATCTAAGCTTTTCAGCTTGATACTCCCACGCGTAAAACCTCAGTTCATCCTTTCCACAATGTCTCGGGCCGATATGATCAAACTCTTCCACAAGTTTGTCAACAGCGCTTCCAATAAACCCACCCCGTGTACAAACCCAGCTTTTGCCCAACGCCCACATTGTCTCCCTACCGAAAGCCTTAGCGGTAAGGACCGTGACGAACTTCGCCACGCGATTCAATGTTACGCTCCCCACGTTTTCATACCACTTGGAGTGTGCAACATGCCGGTTCTCTCGTCACTCTACGAGCTATTTGTTCAGGGGAACAAGGACGCAGCCAGAGATCTGTGCGAAGGAGTCCACTACCACCTCATCGACCCGAAGGAATTCACTGAGCTCTTCGAGACCTGATCAGTAAGTCGAGCAATATCTTTCTTTATCTCTTTTCCACCCCTGTATACTTACTATCACCATGCGCATGTTTCTCTTGGTCCCGGTCAGTTGTGGAAGGTCTCACGGATTTGTATATTTGCCAAACAATCTCCCTCGCCGGCTCACCGTCCTGTTACGCTAGCGTTATGAAGTCATTTGTTCACATACCACTTATACCACCAGAGTACAATTCGTGTTTTTTCTCCTTTTGAATCTTAAAACAATCTGAGATCTCGTCAAAAGAACTCCAAACGCTTGGTCGCGTGTCTAATTTTTGCAAATGTAATGTCATTAATACAAACTTTCCCAAAGTGTGAAGAGAATGCTCCTTGTCATTAAGGAGTTTGAGGGGAACGTTGAATCACATAACAATCATTGAGCTTCCTCCAGATGTTCTTCAAATTAAACCCACTCGCGCTATATATATCTTTATACAAATAAAATAAAACATATTATAAATTATAAAACCCGTGAAAGAACATCAAAATAAATTTATATATATATATATCTTTATACAAATAAAATAAAACGGAAATTATAACCTCGTCAAAAAACACTTGAAAATCAAAACAAATAGCTATCATAGGCCCAGTCAGAGAACATATGAAGCGATCATTGAATGTTCAAGGTACCATCTAACGGACTGATCACACCCCCAGCTCACTTGCCAATCTTTGAAAGTATGTCAGTTTTGTTTCCTCAATAATTCCCAGCTCTTCACGCTCTTCAGGATCCAGCGTAGAGAGCCATTCTGGAGAGTAGCAATCTATAGGCAGCCCTTCCGGAGCAGGTATTCGACTTTCCTTTCTATCCTCTTCATCGTCACGTATCCTGATTCGAGGTTTTGCTCCACGAGTCCCCTTTGGACTTTCTTCTTTCTTTCGCTTGTGGTAGGCATCGAGTCGTACTAGAAGATCCTCCAGAGCAGCACTCCGCCATGGCAGCCGAAGGACTCTGCAGCGCTTCTGCTTTTCTTCTGAAAATTCTTCGTCTTCGTCCGTCTCATCGTCACTTGAAGCCGCCTTGATAAAAGGACACAATGACCACATTCCCTGTAAAGCTATAGCAGTTTCACATCTGCGATTCTTCCACTGTTTTTGGTATCAAACCAGGAGGTCAAAATTCAATCTCAGTCAGCCTTATTCGGTGTCCAAAGCTGCCTTGACCCAAAAACACATAACTCACCACATTCAGCCTGCTGTGTCGAACCCCATCTTTTTGACGGGCCTCGAGTTCGGCCCTCGACAAGGAGTTGTATTCGCGAAAGCTGCTCCAGCGGCAAGTTGAGGTCACCGATGCTCAATCAGTTTCTTAATTTGTCTTGCATAGAGTGCATCACATACCTTCGTTGTAGTCTTTGCCGTGCATGCTTTGCGAGAGCAGCATGCACCACCGCAGGTTTTGCTTGATCATTAGTAACATCATCGTATTCGCCACATTTAACTAATCGGAGAAAGATCGCAGTCGCTAGTTGCCAAAGGAACTTGTTTTCCGGAGAACCCATCCTTTCCTCCCAGATCGGTCGAAAGGATTTAACACCAACGCTATTCATCATTTTCCACATGATGAGCAGAACTTGTGGGTTAGAGTTTTCGCCACCAGGTCCGCCTCGGTAGGGAAAGCGCGGATCCCTTTCGTCATCGACCTGTTCCGCTTCCTCCAGATTCAAAGATGAATTCACGAAGTTTTTTGGTATCTTTCGCTTCCACCGTGACCTCTCATGCTCACTCGCGCTAGGAGGCACCCGGCCCTCATTTTTGACTCCCATTAGGGTCCAGATATGCGTTCGAATTCGACGCTGCACACGAGTCCATCAGAGATACAATTCAGCTACGCCACGAGTGCAGCAACATCTAGCGTGATAGCTTACCAAAAAATCACTGCCAAGCAGATTTTTAGCTTGAGTTCCACCACGACCCCGACGTCCTGAACCTGAAGAAGCATCATGCTGCATTTTCTTCACCGTCTCGGCTATTTCGCGAACAGCAGTTGCTATTTGAGCAACGTTTTGGTTGGTTTCTTTTTGTGCAAGTTCCAACCGCTTGAACCGATCGCTTTCTCCGTGATGCGACATTGAATCGTCGTCCGAAGGGTATGCATTGGGATCCGGCAGGTTCATGTCGTCCAGGCCATCCAAGATTTGATCAATGTTGCCGTACATTTCCTTGGAAGAATCGTCTTGCGACATCGGATCTCCATCTGGCTCGTCGATGCCATCTTCATCTGGCTCGTCGATGCCATCTTCATCTGGCTCGTCAATGTTCTCTTCATCAGAAGCATCGCCGATTTCTTCTTCATCAGGCTCATAGTCGGATTCAGACACAGCCCGTTGCTTTCCTTTATCTTTTGAGTGTAGCACGGTCGGAGCTGGACGGGGTAGAGCTGTGCCTCGTTCACGACTTGGAAACTCCACCGTCGACCTCCCTGCTCTCCCACCCAATACGGAGTTCATCAGTATTGTGCACCAACAGTGCATGACTCAAGCCCACTAACTTTCTTGTATAATTCCAAGCTCAGACTTATCGGTAAGCCTTCTGCTCGCTGGTATGAAATGATCCAGGCGGATCCCCGATCCTATATCTTTCCAAATATGTTAGCACAGGCATCAATATGAAACATATACTCAAGGTTCACTAACCTGTGTCGGATTCCGCGTCGTCGTCATTAGGGGGTCTTCGATTCTTTATCCTCTTGCGTCGTCCTGATACCTGTTCATCTATGTAAGATCAAAAATCGAATTAAAAGGTGCTAACTATGGGACCATGTTTGTAGACTTGTCCAAAAACACTTACCTTCTGTATCCATGATGAGTCCACGTTCAGGACTTGCTGATCTGCTTGAGCGTCGAGATGAACCCCTCCGGCTCCCATGGTTGACATCAACACTTTGATTACAAAGATCTTCCGGCTCGGGCAACTCTGTGGCCACTTCAGGAAGATCCCAGAGTTCAGTCACCCGCGGTTCGTTGCAATCTACAGCACTCACTCACCGTCTTGACTGCGATTCGCTCGCCCTCGCAGACGAGTGACAACCCGCTGGCCCGTTTCAGACTCTGACATAGCATACAGATCATGAATATAAATATCTAGCTTGCCATGTTCGAACACCATAGAAAAACACGGACTACTTACCCGGGGTTTGCTCCGTGCAAAAAAGATGACAGAGCTGCAACAACTCCTCCTTTTGCATCCCACCTGAACCCACGATTTTGAAAGGCTTTATCTGGAGTCGAAGTTCTGATAATGACAAGTTTGTATAATCAGGTCTTACTAAACCCCTCTCCTCTACCACTCCTTCGTCTTGAGGTCGGTTGTGATCACTGGTTGAAGTAGCAGCGGGTTCCTCCCCCCCCATCTCTCGAATCCTCTCGGCTAAAATTCCTCGGGTTTTTCTGACATCCACCCTTGCTCTGGTGAGGACACGATCTACCGATGAAGCACTCGGATCAGCGGGGTTGATCTGCGACACATGTACAACAGCTGAAAATTCCTACTTACCATCATCACCCACGTTGTTTTTGGTAACTCGGCGTTTCCGATGAATAACCATCGCAGCGACCTCTTAGGTAGAAAGTAAATTAAAAAAACAAAAAAGAAATAAACAGAAAAGTCAAGCTAAAACCGGTTTCACGGAAGACGGCTTGTAGAGTTCAGATCAGAATGAATCGCAAGACAATCAATATCACGGAAGCCAGCCCGTAATGTTGAAATGATCAATAGAGAAAAAGTAGAGATAAAACTGGTTTCACTCAAGCCGGCTTGTAGAGTTCAGAATTGGATGAATGGAAAGAAAATCGATATCCCGGAAGCCAGCCCGTAATGTTGAAATGATCAATAGAAAATCACCAGGATCAAGGATGCGAAGGCAGTAAAAGTGTAAGAAAAGAAGAAAGATGATAATTGGGTACACAGACGGGGGAAAAGCCAAGAAATCTAAATGTAGCTATACCTCAATTATCAAACGACAGGCCCGATTGCCTTTTTTTGGGCAGGCCTTTCATCTTTAGATCGGTCCTTCCACCAGTGAAGGTAAGATAGAAGCGTGTGCTTGTTTGGAAGGTGATAATCCTTTGATGCTTTCGCCTTCCGATTCTCCTTTGTAAACATCGAGTGGTGGTTCCAACGGATTGAAGTTCGGTCTTTGATTAACAGACAAGAAAATTAACGTCCGTTCTACAGAGGTGGGGACTGAAAAAGAAAGGACATACTGATGGAATACAACGATCAAGTACCCTCTTAATGTTCGTAAATAGAGGACGGCCGATCAGCGAAAATTTGGAATGGAAGTGTGATTCGGTTGGTGGCGGTGATTTGCAAGACCTTGTCGTTCCGCAGTCGAATCGTCCAAATATTTGTGGGCTTTATTTACCCGATGTAGACTTTGCCGGTAGCATCCAGTATCATGCTGCCTTTGGTACATATTACATATTCGAAAGGGATGATAGTCATAATGGGCTCATGCTGCTCATAGCTGTTTCTTTGTTGATATTTTCGGTTAGTTTTTCTTTGAACCACTAGATAGATAAAGCCTTTCGTTATCCCTGACCGGCTTTGTTTCTTATTTCTATTTCCCGCATTCTACTGATCTCAAACCAATATCCCTCCACCTCTCTTAATCAGTACATTTCGTCATACTTCGAAGCTTTCTGACTCAATCTTCAGCTATGCGACCATTCAACCCATTCGATGTCGAAGTCACGCCCGAAGAAATACGGAGCTTCTTGCGCTATGAGTTTCCTTTCGTACCGGAAGCTCCTCCTCGGATGCCAATACAGGGACTACAACAATTGGCCCAAAAGTGGATCAATCTTCGTAAGTCATGATATCATCATTGGCTTTGTTGTTTATACTCCTTCTGACATGAATTGCCACACACAATTTCGCTTGTTTAAACTCGACATTTTGTTTCGCGCAGACGCGCAGGCTGAAGCATCGAAACGCTCTCAAGGAATCGGCCAGAATGCTACTGATATCAAGCCTGTCCTCAACCGCGCGGTCCTTGATGCAAGCAAGCATACAGGTATGTTTTTCTATGAATCACAAACTTCACGTTCGATTAATGATCTATTGCATGGCACTGACAATTTTGTATGTGTTGCAGACAAGCCGACAAACTCCAGTTCAACGAGAGTCATTCAGAAACCCCGCCCTTCAGAGTCGAGCTCAGCTGCGAATGTCTCAAAATCTCCCCCGCTTTCAGCTTTAGACATCGAGATCAACTTACTTGCAGACACTGGAGGCTCTACAAGTCTCAAAAGCTCAAGTCGAACTGTATCTGGCAACAATCGCAAGGATGAAGCTCTTTCGGGCAGACATGAATCTCGGGCAGCTCCGACTCCAAAGAACAACCCAGTTCCGACTCCAAAAAATAAGCCAACTCCGACTCCAAAACTTCAGCCAGCTCCGACTCCAAAAGCCAAGCCAGCTCCGACTCCAAAAGCCAAGCCAGCTCCGACTCCCAAAGCCAAACCAGCTCCGACTCCAAAAGCCAAGCCAGCTCCGACTCCAAAAGCCAAGCCAGCTCCGACTCCCAAAAACAAGCCAGCTCCGATTCCCAAAAACAAGCCAGCCACCCAGAATACGATCACTCGGAAATCAAATCAATTTGTAGCGGTCAAGCAACCTTTAAGCCCTTCTCCTAAGAACAGCGCTTTTCCTGGATCTTCAGTTCAAAAAAAGTCGGGTTTGAAGTCCAGTCAAAGTTCTGCTTGTCATAAAAGAGATTCGGATGAGGCGTTTTCATCAGACACGGAACAAGAATTAGGTGAGTTTCAATTTGATCTACCCCGGCATCAGTATCCTTTAGCTGATCTTATGTCCATCCTCCCGAGAAAAAAGAAAATATTCCCATATCTCCAAAGAGATCAAAAAAAGCGAGCTTACCACCAACCCAAAAAAAGTCCAGCTCTTTGGCTCCTGTGAAAAAGGATCCGATCACTCGAAAATCGAAACCATCTAAGTCTTACCCACCTGCCAAAGTCCGTTTTTCGGCGCCTGACCTATCTCAGGGCAGTGATACCAGCTCACTCACTCCGCTAGAATCTTCGGACTCAACGTTCGATGTTGAGTGCGAGGAATCTGGTATGTAGTTTTCCTGAATTGAAATTGAACAATGTTTATGTGACTAATGTATCAATCATCGTGCTTGAAGTTCCGCATTCGACTCCTTGTGATCCGTTACCAGAGAGCACCGAGCCCTGCAACTGCGAGTGTCGCAAGGAAATGAGCGGCTTGAAATCTCGAGTCGAGGTCTTGGAAGGATTCCTTCTCTAGCGGTTTGTCATCTTGATTTCATTTTAACTCTTTCTCTCTGTGTAATTATAGTTTTTCTTGGACTGGAGTGTGGATTGTTATGTTAAAGTAAAAAAAGATGTAGATATTGGCTCAGAGTATACTATACATGAGTGAGATAGCTGAAAAGCTTGTGAGAATCTTGATTGAAACTGGACAGAAATTCTCTCAAGTCTTTTGAGTCCTCTAGGACGGACTTGGGCATGATCCCGAAACAAGTGGATGGATCACCACAAAGGATACAATACCAGGTTTAGCAGCTCAAAAGTGGATCATGACGGCCCCTCTTAGTTGGCCTGTCTATGAGTCTGTTTGAAATGTCTACATAAACAATTGTTTCGCAAGTGTGTATTCCCAAGGTGAAAAACTGTTGGATTTTTTAATTATTTTCAGATAAAATTCAATTGTTTTTCACCTGGGAAAAATGCATTATCTTCGCAGTGTCAATATCGAGGACTGACCATTTGGCTTCCTCGCTGCATTTCTTGTCCATTGATCCTTAACCAGGTGTTGTGACCGTTTCTAAAGGGACCAAGCACGACATTGCCGCTGGGCAGTCAGGTTTGTGGTATTTTTGTTCTACCCCTAGAAGTCTGGAAATGTTATCTGTGAAAGAAAGTTGATGGCCACTGTGTCCCGCGTTTTTGGTCGGTCAAAAAAATCAATTGGTATATTTTAACACAGGAAAAGGACCATTGAAATTTCAAGGTATCAGTGGTACTAGCCTAGATGGAGGTGCAGCTGAATGGTGTTCGATTTACTACATAAGCGTAGGTGGCACCTATCGAACCGGGCAGATCGGTGTAAACGGAGGTGAGAAGTCCAATGTGTATTATCCACCGACTTCAGCTCTCATTTCCATCCCAGTACCTGTCACGCTGTCGCTTGGAAATGACAATGTGATTGATCTGGGCATTCCCAGCGGAGTTGTGATTGATCATATCATTGTGTATTGAGAGGTCATGCGAGATATGACTCTCATTCTTGTTCAGTTTTGTTTTGTGAATCACTTCAACTTACAATCTGGGTTTGAAGATATTTTGTAATCTTTATCTTGAGAATCCTTTGAGGCTTCAAGATTTGTCAATCATTTCTTATCTCAAGCTGAGACTAGTTAATTCAAATGCAGTCTTCTCTTCTTGTGTTAATGACCAATATCTTGATTATTTTCAAATCTTCCCCATTCCCCACTTTTTGGATCAAACAGTTACATGTAATCTTTCTCCATCAATCATCGAAAGCCATTATTTGATCGTCTTGTTTCCTTTGAATATTTTGTTTTTGCTCGGCGTTTTTTCTTTTTTCCTTCTGGGATTGAGCCAAAAGGCTTTTTTAGCTCTTATATCATTAATTTTACGCCTGCCTGATTATTTAGACTGAAATCATACTTTCAAAGTTACTGCTTGATAAAGTGAGGATCAAATCAGGAGAGCAAAGAGAAAGATGATGATACGTCAGCATGTACAGTGTATGCATAGTGGCAAAAGTAACCTCACGACAGCTCACGACTACGCTCAGGGTGAAATTTGGATTTCAACTTCAAAACTCTACATAAACTAGTAAAGCTGGTTGTGTCCCATGAGCTATTGCTCGGTGCTTTATTGATATGGAGTTACGGTGACCAAGCAACCATCACAGGAGACTTCCAAGAGTCGGCAGTCGGCGATAGCAGTAAAAGATGAATTACAACTAACTTCGCAACTAGTGGAATTATGGAGAATTCAATCTCGATCCACGCCTTTATCAGCTCGTCTACTATTATGTGAAGCTCCTCTCAACTCAGATCGCCTCCACGTTTTTTCTGTTTGAACAATTTCGTAAGGCACGCCGCAGGTCGCTATCGCCATCCAAATACTCAGCTTGTGCGTATATTCTTGAGATAGGGGTGAGTTATCATCTAACTGGGTTCAGGAGAAAAGATACAAGTCATGAGACTCGATTAAGATAGTGGATTGCTCATTGAGGTGGTATCGATTGATATGTAGGGCTCAAGACTGTTGGTCTTAAAGCTGGAAGAATGTATATGTGTCATATCAATGTGGCCTTGCGTTCCTTAATGGTCGGGTTCCTTTTGTTTGCACTGATAGTCACTGGGGAGAAGAAAAGAATCGTGTCGGGAGCCATTTGGAATGATGACGCTGGGAAACGGATACAAGCCCATGGGGGATGTCTTTTACAGGTACGTGGTCACACATAATAGACACCGATTCCTGGATCGCAGCGCTGATTTTTTGACCGCATTTCTATAGTTGAAAGACCAATGGTATTGGTTTGGTGAAGATAAGGAGAAAGGACACAAGTTTAAGGGTATCAGTTGCGTTGTCCTTCAAACTCCAACATTCTAGGATTGAATAGAAGAGTGCTAATGTGGATGGTATGATATTTAGGCTGCTATAGGTCTGACGACCTCCTTACCTGGACGAGGCTACCAAATGTACTGACCAGTACGGCTGGCACACCGCTGAATGAGAATATGGTGGTCGAGAGGCCCCGAGTTCTCTTCAACCAGGCCACCAACAAGTTTGTGATGTACTTTCACTATGATGTAAGCCTTGAGATATATTTAATGTCACTTATGTAGTTGATGCTTACCATTATGTCACTCACTAATACCATGTCATTTTCTATAGGATTCAAAGTACGTCTATAACTCATGAAGAAGTGGTCTATTTGCAGCCAATCTAGATGGATACTGACAAGTTTTCGAATTTTTGATTGGAAAAGATACAAACTAGCTCAGATTGGTGTCGCAACAAGTGACAAGGCAAGTTTCTATCCACTGGTTCATACACATCATCATAGAGTACAAAGGCTGATCTGGCACCTGGGTATTTTATTGTGCAATCTTGACGAGGTGCCCTCCAAGCAGATTGATTCAGATTGGAAGTTTGTTCGTGCATTTTCACCTCTCAATTCGCAGAGCCGTGATCTTTCCTTGTTCCAAGATGATGATGGAACAGGATATGTTATCTTTGCCTCTGGTAAGTTTTCTCCGCCGTTTCCTCTTCGTCAAAAGCCACACCAGCCTGCAAGAGAGCTGATTGACCACGTGCGACTTGCAATCAGATGGAAATGCAAATCTGAAGCTGGCGCGTCTCAGTGAGGACTATGTGAGCAATTCCTGTTTGAACTCCGCCTTGAGAAGACCAGAGGGTTGTTGATGGACTCGAGATGAGTTAGATGGATGTCAAGGAGTTGGTTCATATATGGAATCGGGTCTTCTGGGAAGCTACTGGTCTTATCAAAGAAGCAGGCGTTTATCACCTGATATTCTCACTCCAGGTGAATACCTTTTTAACATTGTGATATCCATTTATGAAATGACAAAATTTTTGACACTGACGGCAACGATGGGTGGGGTTATATGGACGTCCTCAAGAAAGGTTGGTCCGCAAACCCAAACAAAGTTATAAAAGCAAGCGACTTGGCAGGTCCTTGGTCAAAAGATATTGACATCACAGACCCCAAGCTGAACACATATTCCTCACAAAACACGCATGATCTTACCGTCATTGGCACTCAGGCAAGGTCTCACATCTGTACGTCGGTTTCAGTCATACTTGCGGAGTAAATTGAGCTATTTCAGGATATTTACCTCGTTGTCCGTCTTTTGAAAAACAATCAGTCACTGGGGATCGTTGGGTAGAAGATGGACTTGGCAACTCAAAATATATCTGGCAACCCTTGAGGATTCAAGATGGTAACTTTCGGATGGAGTGGCACGATGTTTGGGAGATTGATGTACAGACAGGTAAAACAATCCATTTATGAAGGATGTGTTCATCAACTTCAAGTATTGATAATTTGTGTGCCTGTCTCTTGTTTTCCCATCATGATAAAGGTGTTGTCACCGTTGCTGAAGGGACAAAGTACGACATACCCGCCGGGAATTCAGGTTTGTAGATTTTATTTTGTCATCACCCTTGGTATACTGAAGCACATGAGGCCACATGAGACTCAAAGTCTGAGAACAACATCTTTGAAAGGAACTGATGGTCACTGTTTTGCATTTTGGTTGGTGGAAACAATTAATTGTCATTTGTTGATACAGGAAAAGGCCCATTAAAATTTCAAAAGATAAGTGGTACTAGCTCAGATGGTGATGAAGCTGAATGGTGTTCAATTTACTACACCAGCCCAGGTAAGACCTATCGAACAGGGCAGATGAGCGTAAATGGAGGTGGGAAGTTCAATGTGTATTATCCACCGACTTCAGCACAAATCTCCATCCCTGTACCTGTCCATCTGAAACCTGGAGGTGAAAATTCAATTGACATGGTCATCCCAAGTGGAGTCAAAGTTCAGCAAATTATTTTATATTGAGAGATCTTGAGAGATACAAAAAGAAAACTAATAGATGTAAATAAAGCCATGTGCAATATCAATTGCTTATACACTAATAACCAGTCACAGCTTATATAATCCAATGATCTGCACAAATCTAAGTCAGTGTTTTTCTTGCTGGCACTTTTGACACAAGTCCAATGAGTGGGACCTTACCGTAACCCGTAACCAAGCCATGAGAGACTTTCACTTTCAAAGATACCACTTGCATGAGCAACAGCCTTGAATGCAAAAATTGAGTCACTTGTTCCATTAAATTCATGGGTCACATCTCTCTGCTTGGTGAATTTTCTTGTTCTTGTTCATTGATACCTAAGATTTTCTAGGTGTCCTGCGGCATATGGCTATTTTTGTACCTTATTCACTCTTGAAGACACACAACTGATTCTTGTATGCTGATTATAGAGCCAAAGTGAGGCTTTCACAATTTCAAAGCATTACATGTGTTGGAGCAAAGTACATGTGTTGGAGCAAAGTTGACAATTTTATTGTTCTTACAAGGTCACTGTCTCAATGCCTACCAGTTTTGGACCAAAATTGGGTTTCTGACAGCATACAGCATGTCTGTATCCCTGTAGGACATTGATGTACAAGCAAGGAGAGTTTCCAAAAACATCTGGAAGAACTTTTCTCAAGTTCAGACTTGTGGATCACCTTTATTCACACAGCCTTTGTTGGAACTCAATTGCCCAAGTTTCAACAACCCACTCAATAAAGGCAAAGCCTTAAGACCTCTTTTGAAGCTCTTGCAAGTTTCTACCAAAAGTCTTTTGTGTGTGCACGTCGATGTGTCACATGAATACAGACATGGTGATATGCACTGTGGTTGTAAAAATATGAAAAATATGCAAAATTATTGGAATGTACTGCAGGTCTCAACCATTATTTTTCTATATTTTTCTGAATCCTTGCAGCTTCTGTATTTTTTTAATGTTTTCTTACTCTTTGAACTCAGTGGTAGATTTTCAATCTGGTGTAGTTTCAAAATGCTATGGCCTACTTACTCTTGTCTGTGAAATGATTTGAGTCTTAGAACAGGATCTGATAAAGGTGCATGAAAGCACTGATGAGCTACTGACTCCTCTACACGCTGCCTATACAAAAGTCTCTGACCTGGAAGGAAGGCACAGATAACAAGATAGACACTATTAATTTAAGCTATTGATCATGAATGATAGTGATCTCTGGTGGGCTAAAAGAGTAACAGCTAATAGGAATGTAACATCATAGAACACACAAGTCAATATCACATTGTTTAAGATAAAGCAAAAATGTACACCGTGTCTGTATCTGTGTAGCACGTTGAGGTGCACACACCAAATACTCTTGATACATACTTGAAAGAGCCATTAAAGAGGTCTCCACAATAGGCATGTCTTCCCTTTGTCAACTGGGACGTTGGAACTCAGTTGACCCCAACTGCTGACAAAGGATCCCACAAATTCTTTTGTCAAATTATCATTCACAAAGGGTGCTTGGCACCAATCTCAGTCTAAAGCCTACCAAACACCTTTCTGTTTTTGTTCAAAACTCTCCGTGTGTGCACGTCGACGTGCTACAAGGATACTGACATGGTGGTACTTACTTCTCTTTCCAAAGATGGGGAAAGAGAAGTAAGCTGGAGCGAAGGGAAAAACATATAAGTGATTCTGAATCTTGGACTTTTCAATCCACTGGGGTAAGTCTAGTGTTGATCTTCTCATACTTCATAGCGTCTTCTTTCTCAAATTGTAAGTCCTCTCATCTCATCTTTTAGTAAACCATATTAAACTTCTTCTCAAACTTGACCACTGTTATCTCTGTTGTTCTCGTCAATTGGAGACTTCAACATTGTCTGTTTGTCACATTAGCATAAGTTTTGATGGCTGGACTTCACCAAGCAATGTTGCTATGCTTGGTGTGTGTCACATGAGCCCATTGGATCTTGGACAACTTCAAGATTCACGGTATAACACATGCTCTTAAACCCATTGACAGACCCCACACTGGCACTCATCTTGCAGCTCTCCTCAAGCATACCCTGGAAAAATTTGAGCTCACCAATTGGCTCTTTTGTATTACTGCCAATAAAACCATGGGCCAACACCTTCAAACTATGATTCCACAATTCAATCCCTCCCAACATTTACATGGCTGTGTTGCTCATGTTATTAATCTTGTCACCAAAGCTGGATTCTCAGTCTGCAATTGTAGATCAAACCCTCCTCTGGCAAACACCCTTGACACCACCTTACCTCATCAAGTCTTCTTCTGTTCCTCTTTTCATTTAGCCTACCCCACATGCCAACATCAGTAGCAGCCTTACTCAAATTTATGCCTTCCACAAGAAATTCAAGCACAGCAGCCAGCTCAAGATGGTGCACAACACTGCTATTGCAAGCTGTCAGAATCTCAAACGGTGGGATTGGTTCACAAAGTGTCAACCCACTGGTTGTCTACCCAAATTTTTCTCAAATAGTTTTACAAACTTAAACATGTCATCAAGTATCAATGTGAAGGTGCTCTGTCTCTTGAACAGTTCTCACTTGAGGACAATGAGTGGGAGCTTGCATCAAGTATTAACACTTCCTCACTCCACTTGATATTGTCACCAATTCATTTGAGGGTCACAAGTACCCCACCTTTTCACAGGTGATTCCATATCACCAATGGCTAGTTAAACATCTTGAGAAGGTCAGTTATTTTCTATCTTTTCTATCTCAGTTCCTATCTCAATCTTTCTCATTTTTCTCATAGCAGTTGCTTATTTCATCTTATCTTGTATCTAGGCCTGGAATGACTTGTCATGCAAGGAACTGAAGTTCTCAATCCTGCCAATGTTATAAAATATCCTACAGTACCAAACCGCTGCCCAGACCAAAGCAGGCTACATTTGTTTGGCAATTATTGATCCTTGTCTCAAGCCCCACACAGCCAAAGGCTTGACTCTGGAATCTCCTGGCTGGGGTTCAGAGGACTTGGTCCAATACTTCACCAGCAAAGCCTTCAGGTTCAGACCTGTCTGTGATCCTGATATTGAAATTGTCAAACCAGAAGATGGAGTTATCAACCCAGATTGACCTCAGCACTTCATCAAGCGCTGCAAGACCGTTCCAGTTGAGAATTAGGTAAAAGAATACCTCACTGCGCCTCAAGAAGACAGGATCTGTGATGTTCTTCATTTCTGGAAGACCCATAGACATCACTAGCCTATCTTGTCACGCATGGCAGCTACAATTCTTGCAGTGCTGGCCACCAGTGCTACATCCAAAATTTCCTTTTCTAACACTTTACAAGTTATGAGTGATCATTGTGCATTGTTCACTCCCCTCAATCTTGAGGTGCAGGTGTGTCTCATTGTCAAGACCTGGAATAAAGCGTTATGAGTCAAATGAGCAGGGATTTCATCTTCTCAAGTAGCCTTTTACTTCTTTTTACTTTCTAAGTAGGATTATATCACTTGATTTCCCCCCTTAGTTCTTCTCCTTTCTAGGATTATATCCCTCAGAACATGTCAGTTCTTTTGAGGATCATAAATTTTAGTTCTTCTTACTTTTGAAGTAGAATTATACTATTCAAAAACATTGTTTCTGTTGCTTGATATTGAAATAAAAGTCTGTGTTATCTTGGCTCAAAACATTAGTTCTTCTTACTTTCTAAGTAGAATCATACCATTTAAAAAAATTGTTTCTGTTGCTTGGTCTTGAAATACAAGTCTGTGTTATACCCACTCCAGGTTCAACTACATCTCCCCTTTGGTGCTTAAATTTGAGTCCAGCCCAGCCCAGAGCCTTAAAATTCAGGGTTTGCAAGGTCATTAGGTTTTCTACCCACGGTCTGCCCCGGCCTTGGGGGCAGCCATGAGCTTTCAGGGTCAGATCATAGCCCTAATGGAACTTGGTGCTCTCGTGCCTTTGGGCACCTGTACCAGGCATGGGATACATCCACTGCCCCTCAAACTTACCTCAACCCCCTCTCTGGAACTGGTAGTTTAGACTTCTGCAAAAGATGAGTCCACCTACCCACTATTGGCACAAGTTTTGAATGGTCACGTATTGATCTCTGTGTCAAATGATTTGAAGCCTTCTTAGAGATAAATTTGGTCATCAGACAAACACTTCACCTGGGATTTTGATGAGAATAATAATTCAGGTTAGGTGATCCAAGTGATCACCACTTTTGAAGTCTTGGATATCTTACTCTGTGTACAATTCACACACCTGGTTTCACACATTGGGTAGAATACACTGATTTTGTTTGACTGGTACAATTTTAACCTGCTTTATCAATAGGGGGTTTCAAGTTAAAGATTTTTATGCATTTTTACGCTACAACAACTTGCCTGTTGTTGTAAAATAAGGGGCTCAAGTCAAAATATTTACGGCCCTTTCTTAAAAATTTGGGGAAAGTTTTTTACGGTACCGTGCTGTAAAAACTTTTCCCAATTTGTAAAAAAGGACTGTAAAAATTTCTTTCGGATCTCCTTCTGAGCAGCAGATTTACGCAAATTGGCGTAAATTTGCTGCTTAAAAAAATTTGGGATGTCGTATAACTTTTCCCAATTGCATAAAATTTTGCGTAAATTTTATGCAATTGGGATGCAATTGGGAAAAAAAAATTGCAATAAAAGTAGTAAAATATGGGGCGCGAGAATTTTGCGATCGTTCATTTACGACGATTAATGTTCGCAAAGCGTATGCTTTGCAAAATTCCTTTTTACCCCCGTTATTATTTATTTTTACATACATTGTCGCGTTTCAAATGCTCGTTAAAAATACAGTTGGAAAAAAAAGTCCTGAAAAGTATCTCACAGTGCACCCTTTGTTGACTTTTCTGAGCGAACTTTCCCAACACAAAATGATTGCAATTGATTTACATTGGGAAAGTATAACAAATGCCCTCATTTCATAGTTTTGCGGGACTTCATTTGCAGACTTCCTGAACCGCCGGAAAGTCAACCTTGTCAAAGTCGATTCCATAGATTGAAACATCATTTTTACGATGAAACTTCCCAATCCCAAAGATTGGATGCCATCCAATCCATTGATATATATATCAAACCATTTGTCCATCAAAGGTGGTCTCAATGCGAGTGAGACGTGTCCGAACAAACAAAAGCGGAACGAAATGACTGAAAACCAAGGACATCCCCTCGGCCTTATCCTAGAAAGGCCAGAATGTCGCACACAGAAGAATGATCTAGTTTGTCAAAAGCTCTGTGTTAAGCTTGATTGACCTGATCAGACCCCCGTATAGCTTGTCAATTCCTAATTCACTTTGTTTTATTCCATCTTTTCAATTTCATCTTCGCACTTTTCATCGATATTCCTTCTCTCAAGACCAACATTGATCTCATCGATATTCCTTCTTTTAAGACGAACAATCTCATCAACAATTTACATCAACAAGAATCTCTCTATCAAGAACCCTCAGAAATGAGGTCAAGTTTGGACAACCCCGACTCTGACAACGACGGTTCTTATCACGAAGAAGTAGACGAGTCCTCAGTCAACGAAAAAGATGACAAGTCGTTAGTCGACGAAGAAGATGGCGAGTCCTTAGTCAACGAAGAAGACTTCATCAACGAAGCGGACAAAGCATTACATTCAGATTCAGGAGACTCGGAAGTTTGCCCTCAGACTCTTCAGCCTCAATTCTACTCTAAGGAATCAAAATCAAAAACAACCATAACAACAAATGTTAAGCCTGAGACTCGTGGTGTTAAAGGCCAGAAGAAAACTTTTGCTCTACCACTCGACCGCCAGTCCTTCCAAACCTCCATCCATGAAGAGGCTACCGTTGACGACAAAGGCTATCCCCTGCTTCCGAACGGAGACACTGTCTATGTAAAGCAAGAAGATCAGGATGCTCCCACGAACTGGGGAACATTTGCATTTGCATACACGACTTCTGGTGACGGTAAAGACAAAGCAAAGCGCAAGAAACGTCCAACCGACTGGCAAACAGTGCGATTTACTTGCTTAGGCGTCATAGTTTGCACCAATGTGTGACTTCCTTGGCTCTCCACCCACTTCCCTGCAGAAGAGAAAAGGTTTTGTATCTCGGTAAGTCTTTCTGTGATATTTCCTCCTCTATATTTCATTTTCTCGAACTCATCTCTATTTCCTCCATTCCTTAGACCTCAGATCTGTAAAGCAGCACGGTGCCATGGTGTCCTCTCCTACATCCCATGCCACAACACTTTGTGTCGCATGGACGAGCATACCAGCGGCTGGGGTATAATCCGACACTCGGGCATACATGATCACCAATGGCCTCGGCGTTCAAAGCCTGAAAAATTGTCACTGGACAAGTTTGGCAAGAGAGTAATTGCCAATCCTGAAATGGGACCATTACGACACAAGGTACATACCATTTGATCTATGCATCTTTACCAAATAAAGTCTGACTGAAACTTTGATTCACTTCTTTGCAATAGGTCGGACGAGCTCCAGCAGGGCAAAAGAATATTGACCCGGCTTCTAACATCCATCCTGCATTTGGTCACCTTCATCGCACCGGTTACTATCGCCGTAGGATTCTTGTCACGTCTGGTGTAATTCCTGAAGCAAAAGTTCCTGGAGCCGGTGATAGCTTTGTAATGGACATGTGTCATTGGGGCGAGTAAGTTCTATATATTGACATTACATTTCAGTTTTGGTTTCAATATTTTGACACGTTTCTTTTGGTTTCATTCATTTGTTCTGTTAGGCACGGATTATTAGAAAGATCCAGCTCCTTTAAGCCACGAGATGCCCACATGACGTTCCAAACTGAATGGATGACACAGCAACTTTTGTCTCGAGATGAGGACAAAAATGTCTACAGTGGTGGCCTGCTCTCTGACGTCACATATAAATTTTTTCTCAACAGTTATCTGCTGTCAACCTCTATGTACCACGAGGACCTTCGCCGATGGATTCCCATTCAATTCACCTGGTTGAAAGGGCTCACCGAAGAGCATTATGCTTCTCATTTCAAGACTCTCATGAAACAAATCAAAGAAGCCGACATGACTCAAATAGAATGTGATACACTGGTCCGTCAGGTCGTGGATTTCTCGGCGGCACAGAAGAATGGTTTTATCATTGCTTATATGGATGTTTTCAAAGAGACGGATCGTGCTGTTGCACTTGACAAACTTAAAGGATGTGAAGAACATTTTAGAGCTCAAGTTACCCGGGTGAAGAGGAATCGTAACATCATACCTGTTGATGATGAGGTATGATATTTATGATTCCTTATCCTTCTTCCTCATTCTTCATATTTATCAAAGCAATCCTTATGTTCTTCTTGAACAGGGCGCATTCGACAAACAGGCACGAGAACTTATGAAGCAAGATAAGCCAGGTGGAATGAACTTTGATCAGAAGATTGCTCAGATGCGCAAAGACTTTCCTAAGGCTAAGCGATGGCTGGAATGGTGGACAGCTGCGGATATCAAGTCAATGCTTTTTAAATCAAGGACCAAGCGGATTGACGATGATGGCCTTTGCGACGACATGCCGGCCACGACCAATGCACAGGAGTCTCTCCATCGTGTTTATTACATGATCACGTACGTCATTTTCATTATTCACTATTTTTTTTCTATAACCCTGATTTGGTTTGTATGATTTCCTTTGATATGCTTCAGCGAGGGAAACTGTACAATAGCAATAGGTCTAGTTCAACTATACGCCTTGGTGCTTAGTCTTGAAAGGGACCACGAAGATCGGCTTTGCGGTGTTTCCACAGGTTACGGTGATGAAAATAAGAGCTACAAGAAGGTTGCTCAAATTCTTGGCTGGTCAAAGAAACCACACAATTTTCGTGAAACCAAGAGCGATGGCAGGCCGCCAGATACTACAGAGGCTCTACTTGGACGTCGTAAAAAGCTTGGTCGACCTAAAGGGTCTGTTAACATTGACCGCAACCCAGTTACGACGTACCCAGGTTTTGCTGCTTCCTCTACCCTTGGTCGCCAAAACCGGTGCTGGCTCAATTCTATGACGGAATGCTTGTATGCAGTGCATACAGCCGTTTGGTACATCAGGGCAACAGGCAAATCAACACATATTTTTGCTAAGCTTATGAAATTCTTTTCGTCAAGGTCCACTTGGGAGATCAGTCAGAAAGGAAAAATCAACGGTATTCTGTCAAGTGGACAAAACTCTCTCCATACTGCTATTCGACAGAGATGTGAAGGAAGCTTTATACCAGATCAACACGCCTCTGCTGATCAGTATTTCAATGGCATCTTCAATCGTGAAACTGAAACAGCTCGTCCGGCGTCACCGGCTATGACACAGATTTTATTTCATGTCGACCTCAAGACCAAGCGTATCTGTTCACATGACACTTCACATGTTATCCACGAAACTACTCATCTAAATAGCATTACTTTACCTCATAATTTGTTTGGCGATCAATTTACTTACTCGCAAACAAAGAACCTTCTGGACCAATGGGCTTCAACAAAAGGCCTTCAAGGAATATCGCCACTACATTGTCGTAAATGCAAAGTCAATAAAGATGACGTAAATGCACCTCAATCTGTTCCGGCATTTTATGAGAAATCTCAACTTATATTCGACCCACCTCCTCCCCATCTACAAATCAACCTCGATATTACGTACTTATTGAATACTCAACGAGCAGAAGCCTTCAAGATGATGAAAGAATGTGATCTGCCTTACAAGTTAATCATGAACGGCACCACTTACTTGATGCGTGCTCGCGGATTTTGGGGAGGTGATCATTATTGGTGTAAAGTGATACGGACAGTTGGTGGCCTGACGGGTGTGTGGTATCATAATGATATGCTAAATGGTGGAATTGCACAGTTTGTATCTAGTGATGTAGAGACTATTGGAGGACCTTCACCTAATACGAGTTGGGTGATGTATTCTCGAGCTCCTACCACGGAAGAGTCACTGATAATCAAGGCTGCAGACACCCAAATTGACCGGGCTGTGGGCAGCAAGGTCATAGTAGATCGACCATTTTCACAAATGGAAGTCGAGGTTGACAAAGAAGAAGAAGGTGTTTCGGAAGGAGGTAACGATTCAGATATTGAGATGGTTAAGTACAAGAGCAGCAAGGAGTTGAAGGAGATTTTTGCCTCGGATGATTCTTTTACTGTGAAGGTAAAACCAAATCAAGGTGAGCAATTTAATTTCAACTGATTCCTTGATGCGTTCACACTTGATAGTCTTCATTTATGATTCTTTGACAATTTATTAGCTCGTAGAAAAACCAATAATGTCAAGTACAAGAACAGCAAAGAGTTGGCAGATTTGTTTGCTTCAGATGACTCAGCTAGTGACGCTCCAGCTAGTGAAGCTCCTCCTCTGGCAAAAGTGCATCCGAAACAAGGTGAGGAATGCGATTTCCTTTCCTTTTTGCTAGCACATTTCTTATTAATTTATGATTCTTTATTGATTTATCAGCGCCTAGAAAATCCAAGAATCATGTCAAAGAAGACACTCTGGCAAAAGTGAAACCAAAACCAAAACAAGGTGAGGAATGTGATTTCCTATCCTTTTCGCTAGCACATTTCTTATTTATTTATGATTCTTTATTGATCTATCAGTGCCTAGAAAGAATCGTGTCAAAGACAAGATGTTGCCCTCAGATAAAGGTCACACAGAAGACAAAGCTCCTTTGGCAAAGAAACCAAAACGAGGTGCGCAACTATTCACTACCCCTTTTCCCATTTGATGTCTTACTTCTTTTATTTCATTCATGTCAAAGAAGAGGTGTTCCCCTCGGATAATGGTCACGCAGAAGACAAGGCTCCTTTGGCGAAGAAACCAAAACGTGGTGCGCAAGTATTCACTACCATTTGTTCTCATTTGATGACTTATTTCTTTCATCTCATTGTAGCACGTGATGAATCCAACACGGGGAGGGAAGAAATTGTAAATGTAAAGAAAAAGTCGAAATGGAAAGGATGGCATATTCTGAAGGAAGGTGAAGAGATCTCGCCAAAAGACAACACTTTGCCTGTGGGCAATGACAGCAGCCAAGAGGGCGATACCGGTGGTAGACGGGTATCAAAGCGTACGAAACGTAAGAGGGAGTAAGAGGAGTGGGAATACCTTTTTCTCTTTTTTCTTTCTACTCACTCCTTTGTTTGTTTCTTTTGCTATTTTGTTTTGTTTTGTGACATTTCTGTTTCGCTCATATTTTCTGTATCTTTTATCCATCAGTTTCTCTCTTGTAGTCCTCATAGTCACTGTTTCAGCTTTTGCCGTACCTGGTTCGGTATTTTCACTCGTTGTTTTCACTGCTACGTTATATCTGTTTAACTCTGGTGCTTCTTCTTGGAATTTTGGTTGTATTGACACGTAATACAACCTTTTTTTTTGATCGTAAAATATTGACCGTCAAAATATGGAATGAAGTGATATTTTGGAACTTCGCGATTTTTTTTCTTTGCGATGTTTTTACTCCTTAATTCAATGCATTGCAAAATTCATGATTAGCTCCAGTAAATAGACTTTTGCGAGGTTTATTCTTTACGAGATAAAAGTGTTGCGATTGGGTGACCGTAAAACTCAACAATTGACCATCTGTGGACTACATTTGCGAGTTTTTTTTTGCAAGCCTTTTTTTTACGTGCTTTCGAAAAGTAAGAAAGTATGTAAAATAAATTAATGACAGGGTATTATTTATTTTTGCGAAGCATACGCTTTGCGAACATTAATCGTCGTAAATCAATGATCACAAAATTCATCAATCCCGTAAAATATTTTGACTTGAGCCCCCCTAATATGCGTAATTTTTGAAGCGGAACACCTTTTTAGGTGTCCTGAATTAAAAATATGTTGGTTTTACGCATAATTTTTTTACAAACAACTTGTCCGAATTCGTGAATTTGGCGCAAAACATAAACAAACTTGAAACCCCCTAATCTATCTGCTATATAAATCCAAAAATTTATACTTTGTCTTAGTAGCCTCCAAGTCTGAGATGATGACTTAAATCTTCAGTCTCAGTCATTGGATCACTGTCATGATCAATCTGTGCCAGTACATGGTTTCTTTTATATATGTCCAATGCATATCATGTTTTTATTTGCAAGAAGGGCATTCAAGTTTAACTAAATTTCATTTGTTTTGTTAGAAAGTAAGATAGTTTTCCATTGAAGCGTTCTTTAGCCTTTGTGTGGTTGCTTGCACTGCAAAGATATTTTCAAATTTCCTCTTCAAGGAGAGAACGAAGAGAAAGATGGTAAATCGGTAAACAGACACTGTTACAGAGTGACCTCTTGACTACGGGCTGTCGGCGAGGTGGAAATTTCAACTTCGAAATCTATGTCGACTTACATGCGTACATCTGGCGACCTCAGGAGCTTGATCAGAAAAAAGGCTGGGCGGTTTATCGGCATGAGGTTTCCAAGCAACTGAAATAGCACACATCTAAGGGTCGGCGGTCGAGGTGAAAGATACAACCAACTTCACAACTATTAAGATTATGGAGCATTCAAACCAACCCTCTGGCAGTGGCAGACACCTGCTCATGGGCCCTTGACTTCTATAGCCTCAAAAATTATCTGAACTTTCATCAGCCAAAGGCTTTTTCTTTCGGATCCTTTCACGAGGCACACCAATCGCTCTCACCATTTCAATACTCGGCTTAGGTTTGTCTTCTTGAGGCAGAAGGGAAGCATCATTCACCTAAATTCACGAGATACAATACAAGAATCATTGAGGTTGAATTGGCCGAGACCTAGGGCTCAAACCTTTTGTGCATGAAGCCACAAAACTTTATACGCTAACGTGTCAGATCAATATGAGCTTTCATTCTTTAATATTTGGATTGCTTCTGCTGGCACTGATAGTCACTGGGGAAAAGAAACGTATTGTATCAGGAGCAGTGTGGAATGATGATACTGGAAAACGGATACAAGCTCATGGAGGATGCCTTTTACAAGTACGGGAATATTACTAGACACTGCACACTGATAGCTGAATCAATCACAAAGGCTGAGATTTCAATCGTGTTTCCACAGCTAAAAGATCAATGGTACTGGTTTGGCGAAGACAAGGAGAAAGGATACAAGTTCAAGGGTATTAGTTGAGTTGTCCTCCAAAATGCAACGTTTTAGGATTGATTTGAAGAGCACTAAATAATGAAATCTTGATTAGGCTGCTATAGGTCCAACAACCTCCTTACATGGACGAGGCTACCAAATGTGCTGACTAGTACGGCTGGCACCCCACTGAACGAGAATATGGTGGTTGAAAGACCCCGAGTTCTCTTCAACAAAGCAACCAACAAGTTTGTGATGTACTTTCACTACGATGTAAGTCTTTCGAGAATGTCCCTTGCATAGTTGATGCTTACCACTATATCACTTCCCGGTTTCATGGCATTTTGTGTAGGACTCAAAGTAGGTCTATAGCTGACCTGATGCTGTATTTTCAGAAAATCTAGATATCCCCTGATGCCTTTGGATACTTGATTCTAAAAGCTACAAGCTAGCACAAATCGGTGTCGCGAGAAGTGATAAGGCAGGTTTCTATCCAATTATTAACATGCATCAGTATAGAGTGCAAAGCCCGATTTTGACAGTGGGGATATCATTGATTGATCATCATGTTGATTGATAATCTTTTCGGGGTGGCCTCCAAGTAGATTGATTCAGGTTGGAAGTTTGTTTGTGCATTTTCACCCCTCAATTCGCAGAGCCGTGATCTTTCCTTGTTCCAAGATGATGATGGAACAGGATATGTGATCTTCGCCTCTGGTAAGTTTGCTCGCTGTTTCCTCCCCACCAAGAGTCACACAAGCCTGCAAGAGAACTGATTGACCACGCGCGACTTACAATTAGATGGAAATGCAAATCTAAAGCTGGCGCGTCTCAGTCAAGACTATGTGAGCAATCACTGTTTGAACTCCTCATCGAGAAGACCAAAGGGTTGTTGATGGACTCGAGATGAGTCAGATGGATGTCAAGGAGTTAGTTCATATATGGAATCGGGTGTTCTGGGAAGCTACTGGTCTTATCAAGGACGCAGGAGTTTACCACCTGATATTCTCACTCCAGGTGATTACGTTTTAAACATCGTGTTATCCATTTACGAAATGACAGAATTTTTGACACTGACGGCAACAATGGGTGGGGTTATATGGACCTCCTCAAGAAAGGTTGGTCTGCAAACCCAAACAAAGTCATAACAACGAGGAACTTGGCTGGTCCCTGGTCCAAAGACGTCGATATTGCAGACCCCAAGCTAAACACATATTCCTCACAAAACACATATGATCTTACAGTGACTGGTTCTAAGGCAAGGTCTCATATCTGTACGTCAGGTTGCAGTCGTCGTTGCGGATAGATTACTGTATGATAGGATATTCACCTCGTGGGCTATCCTTGGAAACACGATCAGTCACTGCAGATTGTTGGGTAGAAAAGGATCTTGGGAACTCAAGATATATTTGGCAACCCTTGCGGATCCAGAATGGTAACTTTTGAATAGACTGGCATGATGTCTGGGCGATTGATGTAAAAACGGGTAAACTAGTCATCCCTTCATTGGTTGTGAAGAGTATATACATCAGCAGTGGTAATTATTCACTTGGCTTCCTCAATGTGTTTCTTGTTCTTTTATCACATTCAAGGGGTGGTGACTGCTTCAAAAGGGACCAAGTATATCTCTTCCAGCCGTCAGTCAGGTTAGTGAATTATATAATGATGTTACCCCTTCCATACTCCATAAAGGATTTGATTCTGAAATCTTCATCTATGAAAAGGAATTGATGGTCATGGCTTACTTTGTTTCTTACTTCTTGAATCATTGATGATTGTTTTTTTAATCTGGAACAGGACAGTTGAAACTTGGAAAGACGCCAGGAGGACGATTGACGTATGAAAATGTTAACCCAACATTGAAATTCCAAAAGATCAGTGGCAATAGCCCAGATGGAGGTGCAGCTGAATGGTGTTCAATTTTCTACACAAGCCCAGGGGGGACCTATCAAACAGGGAAGATGAGTGTAAATGGAGGTGGGAAGTTTGATGTGGATTATCCACCAACTTCAGCTCAAATTTCTATCCCCGTACGCATCAATCTGAAGCCTGGAGGTGGAAATTCAATTGAAATAGTGACTCCAAGTGGAGTCAAGGTTGATTATATCATTCTCTATTGAGATATCTAGGAAGAAACAAAACATGCATAATAGTAATACATATGTTTATCAAGCCATGTACATTATTGATTGTTCAAACTAATAAACAAAGAATATAATTTCTGCTATGATATTGTGAAAATTTTGAGTCATTGCATAACTTGACATTGATCTACACTCATCTTGAGACATCCATATCATTTCCATGGAGTGAGCTTTGAGGGGTCCTGACATCTAAGGTCTGATTTGATTCTTGCTTTGGAGTCAGATAGGGGGATTCAAGTGCAAGTGTTTTGTCAAAGCCCCTGAAAATTATTGTTTCTCTTATTTTAGATTTGAAAACAAACCAAGGTGGTTGTAATTATGACCTACATTCATGCATCAGAGCGGATGTTGCAACCTGTGACATGTGGAGCAGTTGAGTTTCACCTGAGCAGAGCTATTACTGTATGTGATTTTCCCACATGCTACAATAATCATACCAAGAAGCCACATCCCCTTTCCCCCTGTCCCCAAGTCACATGCCCCCAAAAAAGGCCATAACATATTGTAGCATCTCAACTGCAACAGACCAAAAGGCCACAAAAAAGAAGAGCTGAAGGAATAATTGAAAATTTCATCCTGAAGAAGAAATTGAAGAAGTGTTTCAAGAAGGCAAGAAAGTAGAAAGCATTATTGATAGATTAAGTTTACAAGATACAACATATATATGTACTACCACCTCACCGTCCTTCCAAATACCAAACAAGGAGACAGAGTCCAATGAAGGCAATTCTTTGCACAACAACACAACTGGTGATTTAGAGACTGCCACAATGGTTGCTGTCAAATACCTCAACCAATTAGCTCAGCAAGTGGCAGAGATAAACAATTGGTGTATGGAGGAAACCACCCAACAAACTAAACTAGCTGTCCAACTAGTGTCCAAACCAAGATGCTTTAAGCAATACAAAGCCCATGTTATGCAATTAGAGAGCCAAAAACCAATGGTTCTAATGTTGCACCACAGGTCCAACACACACCACCTCTGCACCTACCCATGCCCTACCAATGAGTAAAGTTGCAAAACCTGATAATTGTATGAAGGAACACAAGGTGTGCTAGCGGAAGCTTTTGTGAGCCAAGTGAGAATCTACACCACAATGAATTGGACACTCTTCAGATTAGACAACACTAAATTAATCATGTTTGCCATCTTGTACCTAATGGGTGAGGCAAACAAGTGGGATCAGCTATTCCTTCAACATATCATGGACAAAAACAACACAACCCCTTTCAAATACAATGGATTCACTGTTGCCTTTAAATCTGTTCTCTTTGATTCCAGAATTGGACCAACAAAAACATGCCAAAGCTGCACTCCATTGCGCCAGGCACTAAATGGGAACTGTCTACGCGTATCAGCCACTATTTTAAAGGTTTGGAGAGTAACATATAGATACCCATGATACAAGATCAGTTTGACACTCTTGAAGAAATCATCAAGTCAGCTAGTGCTACAGACAATGACTCACAAGGTGAAATCATGTACCCGGAAACCATTACACAAACACCCAACCCTGAAGCTATGGATATCTCATCAGCACACTTCAACATCTTGTCCAAAGAATATAACTATTGGGTGACAGAACCACTCTGCTGAAAGTGTGAGAGACATTGGCATTCAACCTATTGGTGTCTTAAGTTTTGTGAATTTGTGATGGTGGAAGGAGGAAAATTACTGAAATTGAGGCAAAGTGCTGCATTACAGAAGCAATCAGGAGGAAATTCAGGTGCATCAATATCAGTAGCAGATCAGTCAAAGGATAGTGGTGCTCAGGAGTGACAGATGTGCCACAACTGGTCCGGAGTAAGAGGAATTCAGTGAAATTATCATCCACTGTTCAGAGATTTGATAGTACTCATCTTGTAATAGTGCTTTGACACCTTTTTACACAGACTCTTGATTCAGCTCTCATTGTGCTTCTAACACAGAGTTCCTATGATGTACTTCTGTTACATTTGTTTCCTGGAACCACAGCATCTCAATTCTACTGAAGTGTGCTTGACTGACTCAAAGTTGCTTTGAGTATCTCTAGATGGACACGGATTGCCACACTTGTTGAAACTTTTCAGCAGAAGGCAAACACATGCAAGCTTCAGGCCAGCAATCTGTTCGCGGGCTAAAGCCCTCCAACTCAGAGTCTCAGGGATGTGATAAAGGATGATCAGTCTCCCTTCAAGAAGAAGAAAAACCCACATGTGGTATTAGTAAGTACATACATGCTGATGTGGGCTATTACACTTACTCACAATTTAAACAAATCTATCCACTGCCACTTTTTGAATAAAGCCATAGTATTGCTAGTTCTCCAATTCCAGAAACCAGTCCCTCCCCCAAGCATTATTTTCCCAAGCAGAAAAAATAATTACCAGTACAGATAACAAAACCCTCCTCACTATGTCCAAAAGGCAAAAACACCAATCTATTCAATCATTATCTTATTTGACTTTCTCACTGAATATCTCATGTATGCAATAATGATGATGTTTGGTCCAAAGTGCAAAGTTGCTTTTTTGTGCATTCCCCTGCTAAGTGAACAGTTAGAGATCAAGGAGGCTATCATACCAGGATAACCAGAGTTGTCTAGTTGATAACAAGAGTGACACAATGATGTTCGGAACTTTGAGTCCAGAATGTGAGCTGACCCTAGCTACCCTCGGTCAGAAACTTAGATCTTACCCCGGGGACCGTGTCATAAACTCAAATTTCACCCCAAATCCAAAGTGGTTTTGGACAGAGTTCATGTTTCTGACCCGGCTGAGCCGCCACTAAATAAGTTATCACCGAGTCCCTTCCCATGGCAGGCGTCCTCCAAGCGCGCGGTTCGTGGGGCTTGTGTCAAGCTAGGCTTAGCCAAGGTTCATGTTCGGGGTTGTAGTGTAGTAGAGGAATTATGAGGCGTTCAAGCGAGTGAGAGAATGTAAGAGAGAGAAGCGAGCCTGGGCTACGATCATGTCTCACAATCATTACGATTAATATTATTGTGTTTGTTTATACATGGAACTAAGGATTTTAATCAAGGTATGGCTTCAAATTTTGACTCTTGCTCGCGATTTGATCACAGATGAAAATTACAAGATTGCAGAGCCGATGCCAACTTTCATTCATGACAAAAGCCCGCGGTGAATAAGACATGAAAATTTCTTCCCGAATCACTTTTAGTCTGATCTGTGATGGTCAATTGTTCATGCAAACCACATGGCTACCGTGGGGGTGGGTCCCTTTTGGATATTCATCGACCCATAAATATTAATCTGTACTCACTTCTCGATCAATACTAATAAGTAGCCTTCATCTCTTGTTCAAGTATGTTCTCGACTTAGACTACATAGGTTCAAAGTCTCCATGGCCGCTTGTATATTATGACGTAGAATTGCGCCTTCTACAGGATCTTTCTTTGATCCTTCCTAGCGGAATATGTCAAGTTATGCAGTACCTAACTTTTAACGTGCCCATTTCTTTTGCCCGATGCATGAATCGCTTGAAGAGTCTCAAACCTTCATGTTGATGTACATAGGCTCATGATTCTAGGCGATCCATGTCTTTCTCAACTTTTTGATTTTCCTTGCAATTTTTTTGTACAGAACCTTTTACCGATGCAATGGCTTTGATGTAAAAGCACCTACGCATGATATGTCGATTAATGTTTAAACAAAATCAAATTTTTTACGAACATCAAATTTCATTGATGCTCAGCAGAAACAAGAAGGCCATTAAACGATTTTGATGATATGTGATTATCCCATCAGGTCCGAAATCCTCAAAACTCAAAGCCACTAAAAGGCTTGATGCATCTCATGTCATATGTATATGCACTGGAATTCTTAATAGTCTTGAGATATGCGTTCATTTTGTGAATGTAGATTCAAGGCTAAGTTCTGAACAGGCTTGACTCTGCTTGACTTTGAGGCTGTCTGCATGCTTTTTTTTCCGTGTGTGCTGTGCGCTGTTTCGCTGTGAGTGAACCTCAAGCTAACAATCACTCAGAGAGTTGATTTTCCGTGGGAATTTGATGATAGTGCATATGGTCTTTGACCGGATTTTTTAGGTGAAGTGCAGGCATTTTTCAAGATATCATTTCGAGACTCAAGAATCGATTTTGTATGCTGAAAAGACCTCAGACTCAGAGCTGAATCTCTTCAGCTATCAGCCAAATTAAGTCTGCTCTCAGAAGTACTGCGACTTGTCATCAAGCGCCAAGGTAAAGATGTGAGATATAAAAAAGATCCAATGCCAATTCAAGTAAAAATAAATCCTGAAGCTGTGTGGTATTCACAAATCGCTCACACTGGCTCTCGATAGTTTTTTATAGAAACGAGGAACTTCAAAAATCGCTAGGATTGAGAAACTTGAGCTTTGGCATTCGTTGATTTGCTGCAGTCAGAATGTTTTTTCAAGTCTTCGGGACCAAATTGGCTCATCAAGAAGATTGAGTTTATTTACACATGGACATGGAGACTATTCTCCGTGTTTCTTTCTTCTTGGTTAGCTTCTATGACCAATCAACTCTTCTCCTTGTTCAGATTTATTTTGTAAACCATTTCAACTCACTCATTCCTGGTCAAGATTAAATCTTTACCTTGAGATTTTTTTGCATTAAAACTCGTCGATCGATTTCTTATCCCAAACTGTCATCAGACTAGATTTTCGTCTTCAACTCTTTAGCTATTTCTGAGTTGATTTATGTAGCTTTTTATTTCTGAATATCCTTTCTTTTTGTTTACCTGACACTCTGCGGAGATTCGTATTGCCTACTTCAAAAATCTCAAAAGGGATTCGAATCCCATCATACTGATACACAGCTTTTACAAATATAACTTCTTCGTATCGGCTTTCTGATTTTACTGGGCTTCATTCTTTTTCATATCTTATCTTGGTGATCGGAGTCGTTAGTTCTATCACACAGCCCTTCAGCCCTCTCTTGAGAGACTCCAAAAGTTCTTGGTGCTCACTCGATCAGTCTTCCTTGGCGAACTTCACAATCTCGGACTTGGTGTTTGCTCAACGGCACGTTTGGGTTACCCCCGCTTCTGCGTCCCCACTCGACATATACTCGCTTCACATTTGCTCAGTGAGTTCGTCTTTGGACTCTCATCAGAGTCCCGACTTTCCGCCTCATCCATTAATCCACTTTACTCCCCCTCTTCTCTTTAGACTAATCAACATATTCGCTCAGCTCATTATCATCGGATCTGCGAATTATTAGCTCGGTCTCAAATTTTCATCACTCACTCCTACCTAAACCCACGACTCTTTTGGTGTCATTTCTTTCTTAGAATTGACTACATTCTTCGTTCAGCTTGAGAATTGTATGATCATATCGCCATCCGAATCTTCTCTGCCTGTCTGACAGCGTCAAGGATTTAACCTGTACCCTCATCACACCCACCTTCACGTACATCTTGAGTCTCTGTTCATCTTTTCACCTTATCATCATGATCTTGGATTCATGCATATAAGATAGTACCTAATCCCGTCCCTCTCCTCAAAGTCATACAAACATATTTTATCATTCTTGTTTGTCTTTTAAACCATAGTTTTCACCATCTCATACGATCACCTCCTATCTATACCCTTTCAGCATCATGATTGATGAACAATCCACGTCAGGAAATCTTCCCAATTCTCTCGCCTCAAGTTACTCTCGATCTGTACCAGATTTTATGGGCCGTAAGCGCAGTCATAAATCATTTTCTCAACTCACCTTAGAAAGCAACAATCGACGCTGTGGTCTGGTGTTCTTTGATCAAGATCTTGACAACCACAAATTCCATTCATCAAACAGTATGGACAAAAAATCAAGCAAGTCCAATTGGATACGGGGTCAATACTCAGTGCGTATCCTTTTCATGATCAATTTCATTGTGCTTTTTCTTCCTTGAAATTGAGGATAATTTTAGCTACGAGATCAAATCTGACCCAATGCACATCTGACATCTCAGGATTGCTGGTGGGTATCGAATTTCAAGGAAGAAGATCTTCAGGAGAAGAAATGTCCCGCGTCACCCTCACTAGGTCATGGTTCCGCCTCCACAACATCAGATGATTTCTTCTCTTATAGGGAGTCAAATGACGACTCTCACTCTTCTAGTGGCCTTGGAACCCCTTCTTCTACTCAAAGTACGGCTTGTGGTTCATTTGCCAGTAGGAAAACTATCTCACTTCGAACACCCTGCAACAAAATGATTACATATTATGATAAACCTCTTCCTCCGCCTAAATGCCCTCTTCCACCTATTCCTCATTCTGATCACCCTTGTCAACCCTCGCCCGTCATTCAACATACATCCGAGAAACCTAAAGTTCAAATGAACATCACACCTAGTACTACTAACTCTACCTTACCAAAATATCTACGTCGGCCAATATCCTTTATCACACCTAAGCCTCGGGAAAGTAGTCCTATACGTTCCGCTCCGATTGTGACCTCTCCCTTGTCTTCGCGCATAAATCCACGTCCATGCATTACTCCAGACTTGAAGCGTTTGGGCAATTCTAGTACTTACTCGTTCATCTTACCTAAATCTGACATACTCAAGTCATCGGGAAAACGATGGAAGATCAATAAATCGACTTCCTCACGCTTTCGTTCCTCACCTCCCCCACCAACCACCAAGGCGAGACGTTCAAGTTTGGGAAGTTTGACCGATGACCCTTTTAGGGCTGATCCGTTGGTAATCTACAAGTATCGACCAACATTTACTCCGATAAATTCTTCGGTTTCCGATCAAGACGAATCATGTTCACCTCGTCCTGATAGAAATCTGATTGAAAGCTCAGAAAGATCTACATCACCTTCGACTAATCCATCTTCTATTTGTGAATTAACTGATTCAGTATCTTGTTATCATACAGCTGAAACTGAGATTTCTGAATCAACTATTCAAACAATTGAAGAATCTGAAATCATAAAAGAAAAAGATAATTTATCTAATTTTCCAGAAACTTTTGTTTTCGCTCCATTAAGTAGACTTGATGGCTTTTTCAATAGTCATCCTAGAAGAAGATCAGGAATCCCATCAAAAGCTTTTACATTACAAATCTCACCTGGACCAAGTAAAACAACCTTTAAACCTGGTGATCAATTCAAACTTGGTATTATACTTGGAAATCAACAATTTGATGAAATCCGAGTTAATTTAATTGGAACTTCTACTTCTACTCGTGGTAATCGAGTTTTACATGAATTTCTTAAGATGGAAGAAAAACTAATTGAAGATAAAGAAGAAATACAATTAATGATTCCTTTACAAAGATCTTGCCTTTGTGGTGAATGTGAGAAGGAAAAAGGAGTTTTACCAGATAGTTTAGTTAATGAAAACGTTAGTCTTTTTTGATCCTTTTACTCTCTTCTCAAATCAAATTTCCGTTTAACTAATCATGAAAAACGCTTTGGTGATTCTTTGAAATAGGTTTTTGTTTCTTATCATTTAAATGTTAGAGGAATTAAAAAAGCTCGTTGGTCTAGAGATGAAAAGGTTCAAGTTAGCTTAATGGTCAAATCGAATCACCTTTTCTCCTAGATAAGGAAAATAAATCAAGAAAAAACCCAAAAAGGATACGGAACAAGTCTTGTTATTTTTTTTTTTGATTTTACTTTAATGAACTAATTCAAATTAATGATTTGAATACGAATTTCCTACTTATTCTTTTTCGATAATTTTCTTACTCTTTGAATAATAATATTGTTGTTTGATGGCTTATTTGATCTTCTTCTTGTCAGGATCGGTTTTTTAATGACCTGAATCTTTTGATCTTAATTAAATTGTAGTTGTTTCTCCCCAAATCTCTGAAAGTTGTATAAGAATTCATCATGATTGATATAATATACCATATGAAAAAGAAAACAAGAATGACTGTGTAAAGTAAGAGTTAATGACATCAAATGAACCGGTGTGTTGAGGTTATGTTTCTCAACAAGCAACTGGACATATACAGACATATCTTTAACCCTTTCTACCACACTTCTTGGGCTACTTTGAGGATGTAATGATCAGCTGCCGGTCCCATATCATCATCCTTACACAACCTCTGCTGCAACACCAAGTTTTGGACAACAGATAGCTCAATTTGACTAATCACCACAATGACAAACACGGCTGAAACTTTCTCGAGTTCACACTGAATTGAATCAGCTCAGAGTCAGATGATAAGAGCGCAAACAACAAGATTCTGTTTGCATCCTGCTCAAGGAGAAGGCAAAATTTGCAACATGAAACGGTAACTAATCTTTCGGAGTAATACAACTTTGAATGAAATTTTGCAAATACTGCAACAAAATACTTAACAAATATTTTCCATCTTGATCCGCTTCCTTTAAAAAAATGAAGACTATATAGATTGAAACAAAACTCATAATTTGGAATCGGGTTTTGCTTGACTGTTAGCTACCAATTGTTCCACCACAGGTGTCTCTGCCTCTGCCTCTTTCTCAACTCGCTCTGTTAGACATTCACCCAGTGTACTGACTTCCGAGGTATTTTTTTTCGGGGGATCAGGTTGTAGGATCGGTAATGAGGCCGAAGAGGGGTTTCGGTCCTTTGAACTATCATCCTGACTGAGTTGGTGCATCGTCTCAACGATGGTTGTAGTGCTTGCAGTCAAATTGGCTTGATCGGATTGCTTAGGATCCTCAACAGATGTTTCATTAGTTCCCAATTCATTAGTATCTTCCTCTTCATCCAACTCGCATAATGCATCCAATTCCTCCTGATGACCAAAAAGGAAGTAAGGTTTATCAATAATAATTCAAGGTTTTCTGTCTATCAAATCAAGAAACAGATACCAAGTCTTACCATCCATCCCAGAAGTCCACAAAGTTGTTTGACTCCTTCATCTGTTGGACCAAGAAATAAAATATCTCTTCCATCCTCTTGATCGAAATCGAAAAATTGATCTCCAACTCTTTCAAGATTGATTAATAATCTTATACAATCTGATGAAACTTGGGTAACAAGTGATGCAAAGGGTTGAACTTGTAATGATGTTCCAAGTACGATCAATAGATCAGCTTCTGGCAGATCTGAAAGGTGTGAAAAAAACCTCTGTGGAAGACTTTCTCCAAAGAATCTGGATGAGTTCAACCCATCCAGTAATAAGGTAGTGTGAAAAGAAGGTTTCTTTTTCAGCTTGAATGATTCAGTACCAAAGGCTTCACGACAAAAAGACAAAGACTCACACGATATCAGGCTTGACCACTTTTATACAGCATTCATCGAGTATCAAGCATCAAGCATCATCCCAAAAACATAGTAAAATCAGTCATTCTTTTTTTGGAGATCAATTCAATGTTTTTTTTCTGAAGAAAAAAAATGAAACAAGAAAAGTTAAATCACACTCAACAAGCTTCCGATTTTTCTTTACAAGATTTCATTTTACACCAAATCGGTTCACCAATCGAAAGTAAAGGTTTCATTTCTTCTAAACTCATTTTATGACGACAATTTAAACAATGTGCTTCTGCAAATGAACCTAAATGGAAACCCCATCCCCCCAAGAAAAAAGATCACTTTTAGTATAATTATCTCGAAAAAAAGTGGTGAGTTATAAAGAAGAAGATAAAACCTACCATGTGCTTCTACAATTAATTCTTCAGAAACTCCTGCTAATCTTTCAAGCGTATCTACATTTTGAGTTAACACTCTTTTCAAAATCCCTTTAATTTCTAATAATTTCATAAACCTATGTGTAATCGTTGGTTTGAATTTTCCTGGACATAATTCTTTGGCTAATGTATAAAATGCTTCTGGTTCATCTATAAAATCTGTTTTTTTGTTTTGTTTCGTTTGAAGTATGAGGTATTAAGTCCTTGTTTTCTTTTGTTCTTTGAAAAAATCGTACTTGGATTATTTTACTTACAATCCATGTCAAAGATCGCTTCTGGATAAGGTAAATTATACTTCTCTAACTATGTTTTTCATGTGAATCATTAAAATAATCAGTAATCCATCATTTTCTTCTAAAACACCAATTTCAATCATACCAACATTCGCATATAATCCAGTTTCAGGAGATCTAAAATCAGGTATCCCAGCTGCTGTAGAGATACCTGCTCCAGCCTAAGAAAAGAGGTCGTATATCACTATCAGCAATCAATAAAGTAGCTCACGAACAATGTTAAAGGTTCTTACCATGATTACTACTTTTTTAATTTTTCCATTTTGAATCAAGCTCGAAATTCTTGATAATCCTTGTGATGGACCAGGAGTTGGGAAATCGGATGATGACATCTTGAGAAAGATAATGAATAGGTAAGATTAGAGAACCTTTTAGTTAAAGCTTTGTTGAACGTTCAAAGGCAATGTCTGATGTCACAGATGTTTGAAATTTTTAATCAACCATCTTGACCAGCCTGTCACAATCTGTGACATACAGTCAGATTCACGCTACAAAAGTTGTCGAGTCACGGCTCTTTGGCCATTGCTTTTCTCTGGGCTTCCTTGCGTCAAATATTCTGGTGTAAAGACATCGTTATACGGAATGCTCCTGTCTCACTTGATCTCACCACTACTAACCTTTGCTCAATCACGAAGAAAAGCTACAAACAAGATGAGATAAATTGAATTACTACACTTCTAAAAGTTATTAAACTTCAACCTCCTCTAATAAAAAAACAATTCAAGGATAACTACTACTGAAGTACCTTCAGAAATAAAATAAAATAAAATAAAGTATGGTTCGAGGATATAAAAACGTGACATGATTCAAACTGTCTGATAACTCTCACACCAAACAAAAACCTGTGAAAATGAGCAAAGTGCTTGATATGCCATATGTCTCATTTATCCTTATTAGTACGTCGTTGTTGCTTTTGATGATATCCCATACGTTTGGCATACTCAGCCTCTTCTAATGCCGTCAATTGATCAGTACCAGTCCAATTGGCTGAAGATGTACGATGTCTAAACCTCGATGCTCGACCTCGGAAGATTTCTACGAAAACAAAACATCTTTATTAATCACACGAATCAAAGAGAGATCAAGCAAGAAAGAACTACTAACCTTCCATGGGTGGCGCAGGAATAGTAGTACCAAAGATATCATTGGGGTTCATCTTACGCTGATTGGCAAGTGCATCTTTGATCACCATAGTTTGAGCCCAATCGGGTAAAGCCGCTTCTTTACGTTGGTGTTCTTCCTCATCATCATCTGAATACTCCGAATCGATATCTGGCAATTCAACGTATTCTTCTGATTTCTTCTTTCCCTTGGGATCAGTAGGGTTGATCTTAGGAGTAGCACTCGGAGCGTTAGGTTTCAATGCTGCCGGGGGAGCTACAGCGGAAAGCTTCGATTTCGATGACCCAGCCACTGAGGGTTTTGGTAATTTACTTTGACGAGCCGGTTGAAAGGCCTTGCTCGAGCTCGAAGCTGGAGTGGGATGTGTGATTTTAATGGGTTCAATCATCGTTTTCACACCGACTGAGGCAGCTGCCACGCGATACTTGTTCAACGATTTGACCGAGCCGGGTGCAGCAGGTGCGGCTGGGGCCACACGTGATGGTTGGAAAGATGAACTGGAAGAGGTCTTCAAAGCACTCCCTGGGGCCACACGAGCTGGGGAGATGGGTTCAGGCTTTTGGGGCTTAGCCTTCTTGGGGTCCATGACTCGGCTGGTGTCAGCTTCCACTTTACGCTTTTTGGCAAGATCGCCGGCGGATGAAACGTCCCGATGGTGTCCCTGATTTCATTACATCGACATCAATAAATGTATTGACAAGTGAGAAAAAGAAAATAAGAAATCCGACTTACAGGTGTAGCAGCTGGAGCAGGCTTTGCTTTGACGGTTTGACGAGCCTTGGAAGACTCTTCACGTTCCTTCTTCTTCCTATCGGCTTCGGCAGCCCGAGCTTTTCGGTCTGCTTCTTCCTTCTCACGTTCTTCGGCCTGCTTCTTTTCCAAGAGAGCAAGTCGCCTTTGCTCTCTCTCTTCCTTGATTGCATTTTTACGCTCCTTGTCATCCAGCTCCTAATACATTCAATTGAAACATGAAGTGATTAGAAAGTTTAACAAAGCGCGATATTCGTCAAATATGTACTGCGCACCTTTTTAGCAGCTACAGCTGCAAGCTGTAGGCTTTTCAATTCAGGCTTTTTGGTGCTTGTCCAGGACGTAGCAAGTGCTGCACCGGCTTTGAAGACACTCATTATACCACTAGTGGGCGGTGTCCTGGCTTCCGTGCCCTCATCAAGTGGAGGGGTAACATTACCTGCGTTAGACGCATGTCTTGATGACTGAGAAGAGTAAGTTCATATATGAGTCATTTGTTCCTCAACCAAAGCAAGGGCCGATAGATGGGCTGCTATTTGTAAATTTTCACTTACCTGGCTAGGCGCAGAAGCGTACGCGTCTTGGAAGTTGGAAGCCGATGGGCTCAACTCCGAGCAGTCAGACAATGAATCTTCGTTTTCAACTTGTTCGTCTCGATCTCGCGAAGCCCCAGTTGCTTCGACCCCGTCAGACTCATTCCCATCATCTTGCCGTTCGCTTTGACTTTCGTCGACTTCATCTTCATCATCTTCATTTGCATCGACTTCAACATCAGGTAAATTCAAAGTTGGATGCGATGGGCGATTACTCTTACCATTTAGATCGATCAAGTCTTTCTCGTAGTGCTCGGATACCGCACTTCCTCCATCTTGACTTTCTTTCTCCATAGCACCTTGAGCATCGTCTTTGGGAATCTCTGGTTGAGTAACAATCCGTCGAGCTTCTTTGTCAACTCGAAGCACGGGAGGGGTGGCGGTGGGTGTGGTGGATCGTAGAAGAGCTGTAGACTTGATGTTGAGAGGTGCGGTATCGACGGGTGACTTACTTTTGGTTTCGTGCGTTAGTGTAACCGAAGGAGCAGGAGAAGTATTCCTCGCGACACTGCTGACATTCACAGCTGGCTCGTCTGGCTTCTTTTTCGATTCATAAGCAGCCACCAAATCACCCACCGAAGTCTTCTTAACGGGTAACTGCGAATCTGTACTATCAGCGTACAGACCCACAGGAGGATTAGAAGCCTTATTGTGAAGTGAGTGCGTAGTCTCAGAAGAAGCTCCGCGATCGATCAAAGGAACGCCTGCGTATGTTGTGAACGACGGAAGTGAGGCTGGTGAGACTGTACGATGTTGACTGGAAATCTGACTGGCAGGGGGGCGCGAGGATTGAGATTTGTTCAGGTTGTTCAGATCAGCTGCATTCCATGGCGGCATAGGAGCCCAGGGAGGCATTGTCGAAGTCGAGTGGGACGTCTGAGAAGATTGTGCGATAAGAGGCTTCCCATGAACAACAGAAGCAGATGTTGCAGATGTTGCAAGTGATGCACGTTGCACCATGTGCAAGGGTTCTACCATCGGTAAGACTTGTTGTGTACGCTCATGCATAGCACTCTCTCTTTGAATCTTGGACAGTCGATTTTTCAAGTCATCCACTCCCTTTTTGCCCTTGTCGGCAGTAGATGGTACATAGCGATGCGGTACAGGCACGTAAGGTCTGGCAATCTTGGCTTCTTGCGTCTCAGATGTGTAAGGGAACCCTGCATCAGTAGAGGTTCTTTTGGAAGATCTTCGTTGATTTGCTAGCATTCTTTGAGAGTCGGATATGGTATTTGCTTGAGATCCAATGTCTTGAGCTCTCGCAAGATTAGTTGCGTGCGAAGTGAAAGATGGTCTAGGATCTGGTTTATTCGTGGCTACAGGTGAGCCACCAACCCCCTGGAATCTACTGACCTCGCTCTTTTCAATTCCTAGTCCGAGAGCTCCATACGCTAGTCCGGGAGTTTTGTGCGGTTTGTTGAGCCATCCGGAGTTGGTGGGTTTACTAGACCATTGGCTTTGAGGGCTATGAATCAGGGCCGCTCGAGTATTGCCAGGGGTGAATAAACTTTGAGTAGTTGGGCCAGGTGTGCGAGTATTATTGTCGAATGCCTGAGATTGTATCGCGCGAGTATTGCGAAGACGAGATGGGTCGTCATTCAAAGGAATTTCGGCGGTGATATTTTGGTCGGGTAATGAAAATTGCAGTCGCTCTGATTGCACGTCATTTGTCTCAGCTAGTGGTTCCTCGTCTGCCTCGGGTGTGGAAACATGCTCGGCCAATGCGGTGGTGGTTTTCGAAGATCTCGAGACAGCTGGTTTTGACGTCTTAAGGGCCTGGGACGTTGGGATAGCTTGTGGGCGCTCCGGAGAAGTGATCTTTTGATTTCGGCACTCTGGTGCGTCCGGAATGGTATGCACAGCTTTGGCGTCGGATGTCGGCGCGTGACTGTCTTCGTGAAGGTCTTTGTGTTCAATCGGAAGGGAATGAGAGTTATCCCGTTCACGTTGTCTCTGAGGATGCGATTCGCACGAAGATAGTGCTGGGGCTCGGGAACTTTCCGGTAGGTCTGACCGATACTTAGCAACATTATCACGATTCGGAGAAGAATGCACTGCGTTTGTTTCATGAACCACTTCTTGATCAACAGAGGCTTCAACGGCCGTGTCATGGATATCCTCGGATGGGGTGACGCGATCGCGATGATGAGCTAAATCTTCCTGAGCGAGAATGGTGTCATCTTGAGACTTGGGAAGAGTGTCATGAAGCGACGCAACAGCTGCCTGAAGAGGTGCCGTGTCCTCACGAACAGAATCCTCAAAAGCAGCGTCGGGTTCAACGTGGAGGTCAGGTACTGATTTGAGTGATTTAGAAAGCTTTGCGGCAGGTTGAAGGGCAATCGAGTCGGATGTGACCTGCGGTGATCGATCAGAAGAGCCTCGCGAAGTGGGTTGAGAAGGGTTTGTGGGTTTGGGCAGGGATATCTTTGCTTTTTGAGCCGTGGTATGGATATTCGGGTTTGGTTGTTCTTCTTTCCGGGTCTTTTTGGCTGATCCACGCGGAATATGACGTTCCGTTGCAGCTGGGTCTTCCTCTTCTTCGCCTTCTTGGATAGCAGACAATTCGTGGCCTTCTAAGGCTTCTTCCTCCAGTTCAGTATCTTCACCGGAGTGATCGTGGGTCTCTTCATCACAGTCTCCATCTACTGTAGGATGTTGAAGCGAAGTAGTTGTATAAACAACGACCTTCCGTGCAGAGGGCTCGTCATCTTTGGCGACGCGATCAACTGAGGTGCTTCCCGGCACGGATTGCGAGGTGACAAAAGGCTGAGTCAAAGTGACTGAAGACGGTGGGTTTGCCAAAGTGGATTTCTTGAAAGGTGAAGAATAAGATTTGGACAGCGCAGCTACCTCTTCTTGATTCAGGATGCCGTGATGGGATGCACCGGATGCAGTATAGGTTTGCGACATTTGGGTGGAAGAGGATAGTCCCAATCCTTTCAGCAAGGTCGGTGCAATGATTGGCTGGAAGACACGGCTAGTCTGATCGCGTGATGTTGACCCTGAATTGGAAGCGGATGGTTCTTGTCTGGAATTGTGGAGATGTGAAACGTTTTGGACTTCTCCCAACACTGACGGTGTGACTTCTTTATTGTGTGAAGTTGCAAAACGATCCGAGGCTGCCGAATGTAGGTCGTAGTGAGCTTTACTAGGTACTAACGAACCAGCAGGATTCTCTTTCTCGTCATGTCGCTTGGATGAACCGAAAGCTGGAATGAAATTGATCCCAGTTTGTGATTTCTCAATCTTGCTGGGTGGAAGACTCTTCATAGAAACCGTGGCTCGATCGCTCGTGCCTGACTGTTCGAAGCGAAGAGGCTCAGGTTGGGTGATTTTCTTCTTGGAGGAAGCTTGAATGCGTTTGCGTGATGGCGTTTTAATTATGTCTGCCATCGCGGCCCTAGAAAAAAAAGAAATCATGTCAACCACACCGAACATGATCATGAAACTGAACAATAGAGTTCTAACCTAGTTCCGCGCTTCTTCTGTTTGATATTGGCAAAGGTGTCTTGAACACCAAGGAGGTGATCTTCCAACCATTTGTGTTGATCATCGTAAAATGTGTCAACTTGATTCTTGATTTCGCTGGCATAGTATGAGAATCTCAATCGAATGTCTTCTGGTAGAGGATTAGGCTTGTTACTCGTAGATACTGTTTTGAAAGAAACCGTTGAATCGAGAGCGGAAAGAGGTCGATTGGAGATAGGATCCATATTTGAAGATGATCAAACAGTTGAATAGTGGTACCTTGATGGATTCTCTGTGGCGACTGGTAAGTCGATGATGATGATGATGATGATGATGATGATAAGATGAGATTAAGAAAAAGGAAAAAAGAAAGAGTTGAAAGAGAATTCAAAGGGAAGAGTAGGTAGGATTTGAGATTTGATGAGTTGTTGTTGACCGAATGAACTGTGAAGCCGAGTTGAGAGGAATCGAGGAATCGAGTGTGAACTTTGAAGAAGAAAGTCTGAGTCGATTCATACACTTTAGTAGCATACTTAAGCTCATGTATAGTCTTCTATCGCGTCATACTAAGCTACACACTTCATCTTGCCCCGCGTTCAACTCCCATTCATCATTTTCATCAGACATCCTGTCAAACCGTGACTGCGACAAAAATATGAGTTACAACTTTAAAAGTAAACAAAAGACTACCAGATGGATTTCCAGTCTACATATTCAGCCAGTTTTTGAGCCACCAATCTGAAGAGATACTGCGTACCCAGCACTGTTGTCAAATAGATCTTGACATTTGACATCACCTCTGAACACTAATGCTAAAGGCAAACATATAAAAGATGATCAAGGATATGTTTGAATTCTGGATTGGTAGATATCATTGGTACTCCAAAAGGTGAAGAAGACTGAAATTGTTGCATCTGTCTCAGAATGGATGGAAAAGGGATTTTGCATCAGAGCCAAGTAATGAGTATCCTGAAGGGAGTTGAAAGACCACTTCTCATTGTTCTCTACCTTCTTCACCATTTTATCCAACTGAACCCATAAGCCAAACTAAAAGGGAATCATAGCAATAGATTTCCTCCATTCATTGCTTGAAGTCACTTTAGCTTCCTGGATCAAACACTACAGACACTGTGCATCTTAAGTCTAGTAAACTCTGGTTATACTTATAGGGAGTAAATGAATGTGTGAGGGCTTTTGGTGAATAAAAAATGCCAACATTGTCCCATTGTCTAATTTCCAAGACCTAGGTGTCCACTTTTGGTTGGCACTTACATAGGTTTGCTTTTCTTTGGTTCAGGTCTCCTTACTATTTAATATTAGTCGAGTCTTATTGCTTAAGTGTCTTTATACTGAGCCATGAGGGTGATCATCATGGTTTTAGACAAGCTACATATATTTACATGTATGTGTAGTGGCTAGTGACTAAACTGTGAAATGTCAGACTGGACAAAACAAAATAAAAATAAAACTAAAAATAAAAATGCATAATGAAATTGATGATCACCAACACTTCCATACCAGTTTTTTAGGTCAAATCATGTCCTTTCTGGTCAATAATTGATACTGTATCACTTCTTTGGCTTCAAATCTATTAAGTTCGCCATCAAGATCTACAATAAATGAGTGAATGTGACTGAAAGAAGCAGAAGAGTCAGTGTTTTCATTTGCAAGCATCAAGCAGTCCTCTATACAGATTGACCATTGACAAAGCCAAGGCCTACCAAAGTATGATTCTAGCCTTGGATTTTGATTCACGCTTGGGCTCTCTAACCGGGCAAGTCTTCCTTGTCTTGCTTTGATATCTTTGTCTAACATTGACTGGGGACATCATCCTTTAAGAGGTAAAGGAAATATTGGAAATTATTCAAAATGTGTGTCCTCTGAAAATGATTCAACAGTTTTTTGCTAAATTAATGCAAAAATCATTGAGCTTTGGTCAGGGAACCTCACATACTCCTTCATAGTTGTTACACACCCCTATCAATCATTGATCTGATTGCTCATAGGGAAGATATGAGAGCACACATCAGTCTTGATCCAAATGTCCTGCTATACAAGGCGTGTTGAACTGCGGCTCTGAACTCTGCAACCAATGGCGACTCCAATCAATCATTTTTTTTCCCTTTTTCCTTATATTTTTTTATCAAATATTGACTTATTGCAGCAATTTCTGTCCTCACCAATGGAGAAGGTTGCAAAGCACTAGTAATTGTATTGTTTGATTTTTGTTTATCAAAAATTCCATTCTATGATATAAATCTACTGTGTTGTAAAAATCATGATGATTTGCAAGCATTCAAATTCACTTGGCAATATCAATTGCTGATAGCTTTTGATGTGAGGATTCCAAATATGTAGTTGGATCTTAACTTGGATCACTTCTGTGTCTCTGATAAGCTTTTTGGCCAGAATATCTGATTTCATGTTTTTAGACACTAGCCACTATACTACATATATTCACATGTGTGTTTGTTAATCTGTGGTCCTGTACTAGGACTATGAATTGGCCCTGGAGCTTCAGGGCGGGTGTAGAACTTATAAACCAACAAGGTTTATACAGAGCGTGGAGGAGATAATCCACCAATGAATGACTAGTAGAAGATGTCTAAGGACTTCCCTCCTTAAGGCACCAGAGAAAAGCAACTTTAAAGGACCAAAAAGCACACGGATTTTAACTCAAAAAGCACGATTGTATTTCTCTCAACACTGCTATAGTGTTATTTCAATATGATAACTAAGAAAATAAAGCAATATCTTTTTGATACTATCCCCAATAAGTCTTTTTGACTAAAACACCAATGCAAATTTCTCTTCATAGCTATAATAAAGGGTGTATTTAAGTGACTAGGTATTGCTAAAATAAGTTTATGATGATAAACAAAATGATAACTGTGTAGATGATAAAGAAAAAAAGGGAACAACAATCCCAAAATCATCCTAGAGTATACATATAAATGTATTACAGCTCTTGCAATGGTCAACAGCCTCAAAAACCAACCAATTCCAACCAAAAACCCCTAAAAACCATATGATGACACAATGTAATGATCTTGTTACTAATATATGATGTGATTTTCACAGCCAAAAGTGATTGTTGACATAGTTGAATGATGTACAGCACTTCTTATGATGAATACAAGTGATTTTTTCCTTGTAAACTCGCTGAAAACCTATTTTTGAAGTTACAGGTTTTTCCAAATGATGTCCAATTTTTGATTACTAAAGTGCATCTTGTATAGCTCGTGATACTGATCAATAATCAGTGTTGTATCAGGTACTTCTCTAATGAGTAATGGATCAGTTATTGAGTTGTGAAGTTAAGGTTCTTGTATGTAAATGTTGTTACATGTATGCATGTAAGTGTAAAATTCAAAATCTGCACTGGTTTCTTATTTCTCTAATGGATCACACTATTTGGCGACCGGTTTGGAATTTGATGCCCGGTTTTCAAAATTTCAAAAACTTTTGTCGCCCGGTCTGAATTCAAATCAAACCGGGCAAACCGCTTTTTTCAACTTTCACATCCCAATTTTGGTTGGCTCTGGATAGATCAGATGTTACTCTCACATAACTTGTCTCAAGTTCATTTCGGGTTTGACCTGTTTTTGTTGGATTCCTAGAACAAACGGCAAGAACGAACATCTCAATGGTATCTTAGAAAACGTGTTGTTCAAAGCTAACACCTCAAAAGACCCATCTCGTTGGCCCGGATTTCTATCAGAGGCTCTATTTTCTTGTCGAATCAACAAGAGCACGGTGACCAGATGGTCACCATTTGAACAACTATACAGTGTAAGTCCCCAATTGCTGGACAATCCAGCCAAATTGAGACCTATCTCACTTCCTGAATTGAGTTCTGATGAATCCAAGCGTTTGGAGAAGCTCCGAGCAAGCAGACAGTCGGCTGCGGATGCCTCAGTTCAGCGTGCAAATCCAAATAAGCGGAACTTCGACGCACAGTTTGAAACGGACAATAAAGGGATTATCAGTAGTAATACCAATGAAGGAGATGGTAACAAACACCTAGAGAAGGAATGTTGGTCAGCTCAGAGGCAAGAAAGTAAGAGAGGAGCAACACGAGTGAACAGGATAATGGAGCTTACCATCTTTGGACTACATAGTCATGTGCACGGTTGTGGTTCTTGAAACGTTTGCCCTATTCAATGTGTCGAGTTCGAGAGTGAGGCGGTGAGGTTGTCCAAATTGGGTGAGTGGTGTCATGCCATCAACAGGTGCCAGCGCCAGGCCCAGCATTGAGCGATATTGTTGAAGGTTGAAGGAATCGTGCAAGCATAGCCCGGTTTCATGAAATTGATGTCTGGCTAGGTGTTGGGTGAGCCCAAAATTCAATTCTTGTGCCCGGTTTGTCAAATTGCTGCGGCTGCGGCCAAATTTGGCCCATGAAACCGGGCATGGAGGATTCCAAACCGGTTGCCAAATAGTGTGATCCTTCAGTAATACCTTCCTTTACACACCTCTGTTACTAATGACTTAAATTTTGTAAATTATGTAATCGCCTCTTCTGTGTTGAATGAGCCATCTACCATACAATTCTGACATCATTTGACATATGTAATAAGCTGAAAACCTCCATTTTTGACGAAATTCACACCTTTTCACCCCTTTGCACAGCTTTTGCTCCCATTCTCTTGCTCCTGGAATATTACATCATCAGAATAGGTTTAGTGCTTGATGTGATTTGGGCAGAAACTCCTGATGAAGTTTTTAGCCTGAATCAGGGCAAGAGGCCCTAATTGCAAATGTAACTGAAACTATGCTGAATAGAAAGGTACATGTACAGACTCAAAGGCATCAAAAAGGTCTGCTATGGGGTGGCCTAAAAAGTAATACAATGAGAGGGAAAGGTGGGCGGGTCCAAAAATTGTATGTGAGATCAAAGACTAAGATTGGGATAGAAGATCTCAAAAAGATAGGAGACTACTTTTTAGGAGGAACTTATTAAACATATTTGAGAAAATATGAAGTGGGAAGAACAGAGATTAAGAGAGCTCCACTTTATATGGGAACTCACAAAGTTAAAGAGCATCCTCAAAAAGGTAATGAGGAAAACTGAGCTTTGGAGTTAGTCAAGAGCACAGCAGTGCTAATCATTTGCAACACAAATGCTTCCAGATCGTTTGTCAGAGCTGTGACACATGACTCACACCTATTCTCTTCTCTAGAAGTGCACTGCTAGTCTAAATCTATAAACTTAAAAATCCCGGAAAATCCTCTTGGCAACCTA